TCTATGGGGGGGAGGATGGGGGGGGGCAGGAAGTCCAAGCGCTTCTGGGCCCTTTGGACCAGTGAGGTGGTGTTTCCAGTCCAGGTGAGGGTGTCTGTGATGAATGACCACCTCTACAGCTGAGCTGTTGATGAGCAGTGGAGCGTGGTCAGGCCGCTTCTTCCTGAAGTCCACCATGATCTCCTTGGTCTTCTCCACCTTCAGGATCAGGCTGTTATCTCTGCTCCACCAGCTGCTCCACCTCCTCTCTGTAGTCCAGGTCGTTGTCGTCTCTGATGAGGCCCACCGCCGTGGTGTCGTCTGCAAACTTCACCATGTGATCGGTGGTGAACCTGGGGACGCAGTCGTGTGTCATCAGGGTGAACGGCAGGGGGCTCAGGACGCAGCCCTGAGGGGAGGGGCTTAGACTGATGACATCAGAGGTCCGACCCGGACTGACTGAGGTCTGTTGGTGAGGAAGTCTAGCAGCCAATAGCAGAGGGGTGTATTGAAGCCCAGCTGTTCCAGTTTGCCCATCAGATGCTGTGGGATGATGGTGCTGAAAGCTGAACTGAAGTCCAGGAACAGCATCCATCGTGGGTGTTCTTCTCCTCCAGGTGTGCCAGGCTCAGGTGGAGAGCAGCAGAGATGGCGTCCTCAGTGGAGCGGTTCCGTCGGTAGGCGAACTGGAACGGGTGGAATGTTGGCGGCAGACTGGAGACGATGTGTTCTTTAACCAGCCTTTGGAAGCACTTCATCATGATGGGAGTCAGAGCGACAGGCCGCTAATCGTTGAGGGAGGCGACCTGAGGCTTCTTTAGACTGGAATAATGGAGGCAGACTGGAAGCATGCTGGCACTATGGATTGGTCCAGCCAGGTGTTAAAGATGTCTGTGAGGACACCAGCCATCTGATCTGACCACTCCTTATCCACCTGCCCAGGTGTGTTATCAGGCCCTGGGGCCTTCCTTGGGTTGACTCTCCTCAGAGTTTTCCATAGGTCAGCTGTGTCAAAGCAGGCCCTGTACCCTGCAGCACATGCTGATGTCCACTTCGTCCTTTGGCTTTTAAAACAGAGCGTCAGCTGTTCACTAAGTCTGTGTCATTTTTATGTTCTGCAGTTTCTTTATCTAAAGGTTGTATTCCTAATTAGATCACCATCGTCCACGTGCTCATCTGCAGTGTGACGTCTAAAAGGCTGTCTGGATTAAGCGCGGCAGTCCTACGCTCCTGTTCTCCCTTAGAGTTTTACTCTTGAACCATGAAAGGTAAAGAGACAGGAGCTAGAAACAATGGGAGGAATTTGGATCCAGTCAAGAATCTCCTCAAAAACTAAAATAAAGCCTGGAAGAAAGAGAGTCCAGGAGGTAGTAGAACTGTAAAGATAATGAGAGGAGATGGAATCAGGTCCAGCAGAACAGGGATGCTGGACCTGGAGAGAACAAGCTGTTAGCATTAGCAGGACGGGGCCTCACATGGTAGCGCTGTTCTGCAAAATGATATCCTGCAGATAATGAATAAATGATTAACTAGAACTGAAGTTGTAGTTAATTATTTAGCTTATTAAAATCGGAGGTGAAATCAATTTAGTGTTTTTAGTTAAATAATTGTAGCTCTAATTTGTTTACTTACCAGAGTTTATGCCTTTTTATGTCTGGATGGTTCCTGGCTGTTAAAATCCACCAGTTTGCTGACCCAGGCTGAGTTATCAGCAGAGCTATTAAAGATCAAAGAACGATTTATCTCCGTTTATTTAAACTGTTACCGAAACAGGGCGGATCTGACCTGGGCAGTGTTGGGCACGTTACTTTGAAAAAGAAATTAGTTACAGTTACTAATCATTAAAAGTAACTAAGTTACTGAATAAAATTTTTGGCCTATTTCTTTATTGTTTTATGGATTCTATTTAAGCTGTTTCTTGATTCTATTTTCTGTCTTCTGGGGTGAAAGCCGATTGGACAAGAGCTGTAAGCAGGGAATCACAGGTTTCTGCTCTTAACCTGTTTTTCTGGGAGTGGTGATCTAGTTGGTCAGAGCAGAGCTCTGGGCTCTGAGGTGGTTACAGTCCCCGGTTCAATCCCCACAGCCTCCACTCTGGGTCCCTGAGCAAGACCCTTAACCCCACACTGCTCCCCAAGGGGAGGGGTTAAATGCAGAGTTAATGTCTCCAATGTGAGATCAATAAAGTTACATTTCCTTTTTTTTTTTCTACATGCCTGACCAGTTAAACCAGTGACCAGTTAAACCAGCGACCAGTTAAACTGGCCTATTTACAGAAGTATAATAAGCTAGAGTTATTGCATGATTCAACAAGGGAAAAGATAAGGATTGGTATAAATAGCTTCTTCCCCCCAGTAAACATTTTTTGTCTTCAATAAATATTCAACTAACGATCATTTTATTTTGTCCCTCTAATCTAATAGAACCACAAACCAACAGAGACACGATGGTGGCCAGAAAGGAGCTTTATTTCAGCAACGATGAAGCAGAGACACAAACTGCTTCCTGGTTTTGGTTCCAGTCGTCAAACAGACTAAAAATCTCCAGGAAAGCAGCTGAAATGTTTTTAAGTGATAAACTGAACGTTAACATTTAGACGCAGTTCAAATGTCATTTAAAAGAAACCAAACTGATTTTAACAAATCTGCTTTGATTCAAGCAGAAAAACACGAGAGATTAAAAAATGAATAAAAAAAACAACCGAACGGATGAATTTCTGAGAAACATTTTGATTTATTTGCTTTTCAATTTTAAGTAATCCCTCATTCTGATCCACTTCGTTTAATCTGAGTTTGTTCTTTGTGTTTCTGGAATGACAGAGAAATTTATCAGACATCAAAATAAAATAAAATAAAATGAACATGAACAATTTCTTTAATTCCCTAAAACATAAAATCTTGGGTTTCATCACCTGAGACACAGTTGATCCGCTTTGCTCCTCTAACACTGACCTTATTGAGAATAAAAAGGATTATACATTAAATTAGTGCAAAGTAACGCCCAGTGGCTGCTGAGGGGTTCATCAGGCATCTGCAGCTCAGACTCAATCAACCTCCTGAGGTCCAGTTAGGCTGCAGAACCTGACAAACCCAGCAGCTTCGCTTTTAGTGCATCTTTTCCAGGAAAGTTTCACAGTAAAATAAAAACAACAATAAGAAAATGAGGAATGTTCCTTCATGATGCGTCTGCAGGAGCCGTTTCATCCTGATACTTCCTCTCTGTCAGAAACAGCCTCAGCGGCTCCATCAGGAGGAATTTATTTCAGATGTTAGCGCTTCGGCCTCACAGCTGGGAAACGCTACATGAATGTTTGATTCAACTAGAAATAGCATCTAAATCCCCAACAATCCTCTCGTTTTTTGTCGTTTCACCTAAAAAGCTGCTGCAGGTTAAAAAAAAAAAAGCAGGAAAAGGTTTGATTGCAAACCAGTTTTCTCTGCCCATCTTTATCCAAAGTCCGAGTTAATCCGCTTAACTAAAACAAACAAAAAACAGAATCCTTCTGGAAACGTTCAGTCCAAAGAAAACCTCTAAAGCTTCTTTATAGAGGTCTTTTATTTTGATCTGAAGAGCCGAGAATTCCTTTATCCGTATTAGAGAAAGTTCCTACTTTCATTTACTTTCATTGTTTCAATTCTATCAAATATTTAAAAACATCCCCAAGATAAGCAGGGTTTAAATTATTTCTAATGCTATTAGAAATAATTTTAATGCCATCAACAAGAACCATGTACACAAGTTATTAGTGTCCATGAAACATGGAGCTGTGAGCACATGACTCATGTAGGTAAGTAGGTAGGTAAGTAGGTAGGGAACACGGTGAAATCCTCTTTACTCTCGTCAGGCTGCAGCCGTGTCCAGAATTCCTCGTTTTCCAGCCATGTTTGTTGAAATTAGCATTTTCCTTTTCTCTAGCTTTTTCTCCGCTTCGAGCTTCTTTACCAAACATCTGCTTTATGATCAACTGCAAGCAGTTCTGCACAAATTAATGGTGATATAATATATTTGACGAAATAAATAAAGCATTTCCAATGCCACGATAATCACATTTAATTAGTGCCAATTAAGGCCTTTGTTTTCAAAATAATGACTTTTAATCATTTGTAATGATCGGCAGAAACCCTGTTTTGCTGGTTTGAATTTAATAAAATAGCGCACGCTTTCCTCAAACGGGAGGAACAGCGGAGGATGCAGGCTTTGCTTTGCGCAGACGGTCTGGAGCGCGGCGAGGCGCGGCGGAGGATGACGGGCTTCGGGGTCAGCGGGGTTTAACCAGGTTTTGCTGAAAGTTACATTTTCCCATCTTGTCCTAAACTTAGCTTCGCTCTGTCACCACAGCACGTACATGCGACGCAGACAGTTGGAGCGAGTGTTTTGACTTCGTGCGTCGGCTGTACAGGATTATAGGTTCCGCCTGATTATCACACTATCAGTCTAAACAAAATGTTTTTGTTCCATCAAGTGTTTGTACTGTTCAATGCCTCTGGGCTTTGATGCCAATTAATGCTATTTAAGGCCTTGATTTTCAGAAAATCTATTTAATGACTTTTAATGACCCGCAGAAACCCTGATAAAACTTTGACTTTAGCAGAAGATTCTAACGAAAGCCTGATCAATGACATCATCACGTAAAACTGAACAGATTTCAAGCAAACCAACACGTCACAGAGCGAGCAGACGAGGCACCGACACATCTGCAAACGTCTCCAACTTCCTGATGCTACGGAAACGGCAGCTGAAACTCACACGTAAACATGTTTGAGCCCTTGCCTCGCAACGCTGCCAGTTCTGTTAGCTCTACGCCTGCCGAAGACACAGGCGTCCATCCCCGTGAACACTGGGACGCAACTCAATGGGAAAGGAAAGGATTCTGGTTTCAACCGTTGCGTATATTAGCTGCGACACATGAATCAAGATGCTATGACCGAAAACATTTGATTGACAGATGACCGTTGATATATGATTGGCCGAATTTAGGTGTTCAGGCTGACGGAGAACTAACTGGCCTGCAGGAGATAACGGAAAAAACACAGATTTTATTTTAAATAGAAATTTTCTAAATTTTGGGTCAATCTGGTCAGATAAAGAGAACATTTATAAACATGTTTAAGCCAGAATGATTTAACATTTATGATTTCCCAACGACCAGAACAGAACAAATCAGATTCTGCGTCCGATCCAACAGAAAATGGAGCCTCAGAGGCGGCGGCGTTTAGCGGTCATTGATAGTCAATGGGGATGGTTTCCTGCAGGGGGCAGCGTAGCTCCGACTGATAGAGCCCAGGTCTATGTTAGTCAGATTACGCAGCAATTCAGCAGCAATTTGATGGGTCTGACAGGAAAAGACGTGGTTAAAACATCCGCTTTGGAGGAAAATACTAAATGAAATCTGTTAATCTGAGGGGAAAGAGTCAGTCTGGAGTCGCTCATAGCGTCTATAGCAAACAGGACAGACTGGAGCAAAAACATTAAACAGAAACTTTCCTCATGATGGGAGATCAGGAGGACAGAAACGGATAAAGTAGAGATCCTCCAGAATCAGAAGGAGCAGACAGAGCAGCTCAGCGCAGCGGATCTCTCTCTAACTTCTCTCTGAGAATCACCTCTCTGTCGCCATGGAAACCGTCCCACACCGTTTATTGCTGCGTTTTTATTTTCTTTAGGCGTAAATCTCATTATGTTTTTAATAGATGAACATTCTCTATCTGTTCTGGTTCTAGATGCTGCACAGACTCGTTAAGTAGAGCTCTGCTTTATAGAATGCAGTGGTAGATTTTATTTAACAACATCTGACCGGAACAATAATCTGTTCCAGTCAGATGTGGGAAATGGTTTTAGTGTTTGTAGCACAGAGACAGAAGGTTCTGCATAGATCTGCTCATCCTGACTAGTCGGAGCTTCTCTATATGCAATCAGTGAGACGTGGAGAAAAACATCGGATTGGAGGATTAGAGAGTCGGACGCAGCCGGTGTGATCAGGGCTTTACTTCTGTCGCCGCCTGGTTGATGTGTTGAAGGCGAATGAATGAATAACCGTCAGTATTCCCCAAAGACTCAAAAACACACACAAAAAAAAACATTGAACTAAAGCATCAGGTGATTGAAGGATTGAAGGTCCTTAAGAAGTCCATCCACACCTGCTGGAGGCGGCTGGAGTCTTTGGATGACCTCAGGATGAAGGGGGAGGGGCGGCCTAGTGGTTATGGAATCCAGAGGTTCTGAGTTTGAGCCCCGCCCCCACAGACTGCCACTCCAATGTGAAATCAATAAAGTTCAACCATCCTATAAATCATTGTGCCGTTATAAACTCACCAGCTGTTTGCAAATCGTCTTTTCTGAACAGATCCAATCAGAAGCGTCCCTGTAGTGAGGAGGCGGAGCTCCGCTAGCAGCTCTAGCGTTGGTCAGAAAGGAGATGATCGGTAGCTGAACGCTGATGGACCATAAATCACTGACATGATTCATTGATGGTTGGTCTGGATAAACTGCAGCCTCGCTCCGCTCCGATCTCTACAGTCTGGCGTTTTATAAACCATGCTGGGAATGTTGGTTTCCATGGTTTCCCTAAAACGCCTCCATGTTTATCCGGCTTATCTCTGGAGATCAGAACCTTCTTGGTTTATTGTTGCCGAAGCTAAAAGTTGCCCCAAAGTGAATCTATTGATGATTAAATCTCTTAGTTGGTGGAACTAAAAATCTCTGCAGTAAGGAAAAGGTCTTCTGCTCTGAAAGCCGCCGCTCTGCGGAACTAAAGCCTGGAGGTCGAAGCGGCGTGGCGTCGGGTCAAACCGTGATGTAGTGCTGTCGCAGTTTGGCCACCAGGAACTCGTGGGTTAAATTATGTCTGGTGATGATCCCAACGATCTGAAACAAAGACGGAGAGTCTGAGACACGACAAACACGCCGTCGCCGCCGAGGCGCCGCCGGTTTGGAAGGAAACTTACTTCTCCTACAGCATTCACCACCGGCAGGTGGCGGAGGCCCATGGTTCTGAACAGGTTGAAGACCTGGGAGATGCGGGTGTTTGGCGACACGGTGTACGGGCTGGTGTTCATGTAGGGCGTGACGTCCTGGCAACGGAGGGAAATCAGAATGAAAGTGGATTCTTAGCCGTTATTCCCTGGGGGGGGGGGGGGGGGGGGGGGGGGTATCGGATCGTACCACGATCATCCGAGGGTTGAGCAGCGCCAGGTCCACCTCGTGGATATCTGGGTAACGAGGGTAATCCTCGGTCATCTCGGAGAACGACAGCCTGGGCTGAGTGGCGCTCTGCATCAGAACGAGACTTCAGGGATTAGAAACCATCAATGGAGAAATTCTGACATTTGAACGTCTGACTGACCGACTGGTTCTCGGCGTAGCAGACGCCTCGGATGAGAAGGCTAACCAGCTGGGAGCGCAGGATGAGGCCGTGGAAGGTGAGCGGCCTGAACTGCTCCTCCATGGTCCACTCCTCGCTGGGAGACTGGTCTGGGCAGAGGTTGGGGTAGGGAGCGTGCCTGAAACCAGACGGAAAGGAAACCTGAGGTAGGGAGCGAGCCTGAAACCAGACGGAAAGGAAACCTGAGGTAGGGAGCGAGCCTGAAACCAGACGGAAAGGAAACCTGAGGTAGGGAGCGAGCCTGAAACCAGACGGAAAGGAAACCTGAGGTAGGGAGCGAGCCTGAAACCAGACGGAAAGGAAACCTGAGGTAGGGAGCGTGCCTGAAACCAGACGGAAAGGAAACCTGAGGTAGGGAGCGAGCCTGAAACCAGACGGAAAGGAAACCTGAGGTAGGGAGCGAGCCTGAAACCAGACGGAAAGGAAACCTGAGGTAGGGAGCGAGCCTGAAACCAGACGGAAAGGAAACCTGAGGTAGGGAGCGAGCCTGAAACCAGACGGAAAGGAAACCTGAGGTAGGGAGCGAGCCTGAAACCAGACGGAAAGGAAACCTGAGGTAGGGAGCGAGCCTGAAACCAGACGGAAAGGAAACCTGAGGTAGGGAGCGAGCCTGAAACCAGACGGAAAGGAAACCTGAGGTAGGGAGCGTGCCTGAAACCAGACGGAAAGGAAACCTGAGGTAGGGAGCGAGCCTGAAACCAGACGGAAAGGAAACCTGAGGTAGGGAGCGAGCCTGAAACCAGACGGAAAGGAAACCTGAGGTAGGGAGCGTGCCTGAAACCAGAGAGAAAGGAAACCTGAGGTAGGGAGCGTGCCTGAAACCAGACGGAAAGGAAACCTGAGGTAGGGAGCGTGCCTGAAACCAGACGGAAAGGAAACCTGAGGTAGGGAGCGTGCCTGAAACCAGACGGAAAGGAAACCTGAGGTAGGGAGCGTGCCTGAAACCAGACAGAAAGGAAACCTGAGGTAGGGAGCGTGCCTGAAACCAGACGGAAAGGAAACCTGAGGTAGGGAGCGTGTCTGAAACCAGACGGAAAGGAAACCTGAGGTAGGGAGCGTGCCTGAAACCAGACGGAAAGGAAACCTGAGGTAGGGAGCGTGCCTGAAACCAGACGGAAAGGAAACCTGAGGTAGGGAGCGTGCCTGAAACCAGACGGAAAGGAAACCTGAGGTAGGGAGCGTGCCTGAAACCAGACGGAAAGGAAACCTGAGGTAGGGAGCGAGCCTGAAACCAGACGGAAAGGAAACCTGAGGTAGGGAGCGAGCCTGAAACCAGACGGAAAGGAAACCTGAGGTAGGGAGCGAGCCTGAAACCAGACGGAAAGGAAACCTGAGGTAGGGAGCGAGCCTGAAACCAGACGGAAAGGAAACCTGAGGTAGGGAGCGAGCCTGAAACCAGACGGAAAGGAAACCTGAGGTAGGGAGCGTGCCTGAAACCAGACGGAAAGGAAACCTGAGGTAGGGAGCGAGCCTGAAACCAGACGGAAAGGAAACCTGAGGTAGGGAGCGAGCCTGAAACCAGACGGAAAGGAAACCTGAGGTAGGGAGCGTGCCTGAAACCAGACGGAAAGGAAACCTGAGGTAGGGAGCGTGCCTGAAACCAGACGGAAAGGAAACCTGAGGTAGGGAGCGTGCCTGAAACCAGACGGAAAGTAGGGAGCGTGCCTGAAACCAGACAGAAAGGAAACCTGAGGTAGGGAGCGTGCCTGAAACCAGACGGAAAGGAAACCTGAGGTAGGGAGCGTGCCTGAAACCAGACGGAAAGGAAACCTGAGGTAGGGAGCGTGCCTGAAACCAGACGGAAAGTAGGGAGCGTGCCTGAAACCAGACAGAAAGGAAACCTGAGGTAGGGAGCGTGCCTGAAACCAGACGGAAAGGAAACCTGAGGTAGGGAGCGTGCCTGAAACCAGACGGAAAGGAAACCTGAGGTAGGGAGCGTGCCTGAAACCAGACGGAAAGGAAACCTGAGGTAGGGAGCGTGCCTGAAACCAGACGGAAAGGAAACCTGAGGTAGGGAGCGTGCCTGAAACCAGACGGAAAGGAAACCTGAGGTAGGGAGCGTGCCTGAAACCAGACGGAAAGGAAACCTGAGGTAGGGAATGTGCCTGAAACCAGACGGAAAGGAAACCTGAGGTAGGGAGCGTGCCTGAAACCAGACGGAAAGGAAACCTGAGGTAGGGAATGTGCCTGAAACCAGACGGAAAGGAAACCTGAGGTAGGGAGCGTGCCTGAAACCAGACGGAAAGGAAACCTGAGGTAGGGAGCGTGCCTGAAACCAGACGGAAAGGAAACCTGAGGTAGGGAATGTGCCTGAAACCAGACGGAAAGGAAACCTGAGGTAGGGAGCGTGCCTGAAACCAGACGGAAAGGAAACCTGAGGTAGGGAATGTGCCTGAAACCAGACAGAAAGGAAACCTGAGGTAGGGAATGTGCCTGATACCAGACGGAAAGGAAACCTGAGGTAGGGAGCGTGCCTGAAACCAGACGGAAAGGAAACCTGAGGTAGGGAGCGTGCCTGAAACCAGACAGAAAGGAAACCTGAGGTAGGGAATGTGCCTGAAACCAGACGGAAAGTAGGGAGCGTGCCTGAAACCAGACAGAAAGGAAACCCGAGGTAGGGAGCGTGCCTGAAACCAGACGGAAAGGAAACCTGAGGTAGGGAGCGTGCCTGAAACCAGACAGAAAGGAAACCTGAGGTAGGGAGCGAGCCTGAAACCAGACGGAAAGGAAACCTGAGGTAGGGAGCGTGCCTGAAACCAGACGGAAAGGAAACCTGAGGTAGGGAGCGTGCCTGAAACCAGGCGGAAAGGAAACCTGAGGTAGGGAGCGTGCCTGAAACCAGACGGAAAGTAGGGAGCGTGCCTGAAACCAGACGGAAAGGAAACCTGAGGTAGGGAGCGTGCCTGAAACCAGGCGGAAAGGAAACCTGAGGTAGGGAGCGTGCCTGAAACCAGACGGAAAGTAGGGAGCGTGCCTGAAACCAGACAGAAAGGAAACCTGAGGTAGGGAATGTGCCTGAAACCAGACAGAAAGTAGGGAGCGTGCCTGAAACCAGACAGAAAGGAAACCTGAGGTAGGGAGCGTGCCTGAAACCAGGCGGAAAGGAAACCTGAGGTAGGGAGCGTGCCTGAAACCAGACGGAAAGTAGGGAGCGTGCCTGAAACCAGACGGAAAGGAAACCTGAGGTAGGGAGCGTGCCTGAAACCAGGCGGAAAGGAAACCTGAGGTAGGGAGCGTGCCTGAAACCAGACGGAAAGTAGGGAGCGTGCCTGAAACCAGACAGAAAGGAAACCTGAGGTAGGGAGCGTGCCTGAAACCAGACGGAAAGTAGGGAGCGTGCCTGAAACCAGACAGAAAGGAAACCTGAGGTAGGGAGCGTGCCTGAAACCAGACAGAAAGGAAACCTGAGGTAGGGAGCGTGCCTGAAACCAGACGGAAAGTAGGGAGCGTGCCTGAAACCAGACGGAAAGGAAACCTGAGGCAGGGAGCGTGCCTGAAACCAGACGGAAAGGAAACCTGAGGTAGGGAGCGTGCCTGAAACCAGACGGAAAGGAAACCTGAGGTAGGGAGCGTGCCTGAAACCAGACGGAAAGGAAACCTGAGGTAGGGAGCGTGCCTGAAACCAGACGGAAAGGAAACCTGAGGTAGGGAGCGAGCCTGAAACCAGACGGAAAGGAAACCTGAGGTAGGGAGCGAGCCTGAAACCAGACGGAAAGGAAACCTGAGGTAGGGAGCGAGCCTGAAACCAGACGGAAAGGAAACCTGAGGTAGGGAGCGAGCCTGAAACCAGACGGAAAGGAAACCTGAGGTAGGGAGCGTGCCTGAAACCAGGTGGAAAGGAAACCTGAGGTAGGGAGCGTGCCTGAAACCAGACGGAAAGGAAACCTGAGGTAGGGAGCGAGCCTGAAACCAGACGGAAAGGAAACCTGAGGTAGGGAGCGTGCCTGAAACCAGACGGAAAGGAAACCTAAGGTATGGAGCGAGCCTGAAACCAGACGGAAAGGAAACCTGAGGTAGGGAGCGTGCCTGAAACCAGACGGAAAGGAAACCTGAGGTAGGGAGCGTGCCTGAAACCAGACGGAAAGGAAACCTGAGGTAGGGAGCGTGCCTGAAACCAGACGGAAAGGAAACCTGAGGTAGGGAGCGTGCCTGAAACCAGACGGAAAGGAAACCTGAGGTAGGGAGCGAGCCTGAAACCAGACGGAAAGGAAACCTGAGGTAGGGAGCGTGCCTGAAACCAGACGGAAAGGAAACCTAAGGTATGGAGCGAGCCTGAAACCAGACGGAAAGGAAACCTGAGGTAGGGAGCGTGCCTGAAACCAGACGGAAAGGAAACCTGAGGTAGGGAGCGTGCCTGAAACCAGACGGAAAGGAAACCTGAGGTAGGGAGCGAGCCTGAAACCAGACGGAAAGGAAACCTGAGGTAGGGAGCGAGCCTGAAACCAGACGGAAAGGAAACCTGAGGTAGGGAGCGAGCCTGAAACCAGACGGAAAGGAAACCTGAGGTAGGGAGCGTGCCTGAAACCAGACGGAAAGGAAACCTGAGGTAGGGAGCGTGCCTGAAACCAGACGGAAAGGAAACCTGAGGTAGGGAGCCTGCCTGAAACCAGGCGGAAAGGAAACCTGAGGTAGGGAGCGTGCCTGAAACCAGACGGAAAGGAAACCTGAGGTAGGGAGCGTGCCTGAAACCAGACGGAAAGGAAACCTGAGGTAGGGAGCGAGCCTGAAACCAGACGGAAAGGAAACCTGAGGTAGGGAGCGTGCCTGAAACCAGACGGAAAGGAAACCTGAGGTAGGGAGCGAGCCTGAAACCAGACGGAAAGGAAACCTGAGGTTGGGAGCGTGCCTGAAACCAGACGGAAAGGAAACCTGAGGTAGGGAGCGTGCCTGAAACCAGACGGAAAGGAAACCTGAGGTAGGGAGCGTGCCTGAAACCAGACGGAAAGGAAACCTGAGGTAGGGAGCGTGCCTGAAACCAGTCGGAAAGGAAACCTGAGGTAGGGAGCGTGCCTGAAACCAGACGGAAAGGAAACCTGAGGTAGGGAGCGAGCCTGAAACCAGACGGAAAGGAAACCTGAGGTAGGGAGCGTGCCTGAAACCAGACGGAAAGGAAACCTGAGGTAGGGAGCGTGCCTGAAACCAGACGGAAAGGAAACCTGAGGTAGGGAGCGAGCCTGAAACCAGACGGAAAGTAAACCTGAGGTAGGGAGCGTGCCTGAAACCAGACGGAAAGGAAACCTGAGGTAGGGAGCGTGCCTGAAACCAGACGGAAAGGAAACCTGAGGTAGGGAGCGAGCCTGAAACCAGACGGAAAGGAAACCTGAGGTTGGGAGCGTGCCTGAAACCAGACGGAAAGGAAACCTGAGGTAGGGAGCGTGCCTGAAACCAGACGGAAAGGAAACCTGAGGTAGGGAGCGTGCCTGAAACCAGACGGAAAGGAAACCTGAGGTAGGGAGCGAGCCTGAAACCAGACGGAAAGTAAACCTGAGGTAGGGAGCGTGCCTGAAACCAGACGGAAAGGAAACCTGAGGTAGGGAGCGTGCCTGAAACCAGACGGAAAGGAAACCTGAGGTTGGGAGCGTGCCTGAAACCAGACGGAAAGGAAACCTGAGGTAGGGAGCGTGCCTGAAACCAGACGGAAAGGAAACCTGAGGTAGGGAGCGAGCCTGAAACCAGACGGAAAGTAAACCTGAGGTAGGGAGCGTGCCTGAAACCAGACGGACCAAAATAAATTAAAAGTTTTAAAAGTTTATCATGTAACAAACAGCCTCCCAGCGTTTTGCTGCCTACTGCCAGTCAGCTGGCTGCTTTAGCTCACCTGTATTTTTCTCCTCAGGAGAAAGGCTAACTCAACAGTGTTCAAATATTTCTGCTGATAAAAGCATTGAGGACAATAGAACTAGGATTGTTCTGATACGGCACACCTGAGGTTCCCTCACTGAGGTTACCTGGCCCAGTACAGGAAGTCCGTACCATCAACCCTTGGTGTCAAAGTGGATGCTGATCTTAAATTCCATCGCCAGATTAAGGCAGCTGTGAGGAAAAGTTTAATTCAGTGAAAACATTTGGCCAAAATAAAGCCCATTTCTCTCCAGAGATCTTTGAGACATTAATCCCGCCCAGATGACTGTAACGCACTTTATTTGGAGGTTAATATTGCTCAGTGCGAAACGCTGCAGCACGACTTTTACCTGGAACTCGTAAATATGAGCAAATTACCCCAATTTCAGCCTCATTACACTGGTTCCCTGTATGCTTTAGGATTCATTTTAAAGTCGTAGGGAAGCGGCCGTTCCAACTGTTGGTGCACGACTTTACCCGACTGAATAAAGTGACTGTGATTGGTCGATTATCAAGGGGGCGTGATTGTTGTAGCGGAAGGTTCGCAAGCAAGTTTGATTGTGGCCGGTTTGTCGGAAGCATCTTGCTAACCAGTTAGCATCTTAGTGCTAGCAGGTTCCCAATGGGAAATTCCATTGGGACCAAGTAGCACTAAATTGGTGACTTAGAAACGACGCTGTCAAGGAATGCTATGGACAGCGGAAACATGCAAGAGGAGGAGAGTTTAGTGTCGGAGGTCGTGGATGAGTCTCCTCCGTCATCCATTTTTTATTTAGAGGAGGAAAGCGGGGACGAAGATGTTGTGGAAGAGGACGCCAGGGCGGCAGAAGCTTGGTTTGGTGTAGAAGGCTTCCAGCCGTACATGTTTGAGCCCTTGCCTCGCAACGCTGCCAGTTCTGTTAGCTCTACGCCTGCTGAAGACACAGACGTCCATCCCCATTGAGTTGGGAATTATTTCCCAACTCAATGGGAAATAATTCACTGGTGTAAAGTCGGGCACCACTAGTGAGAAATGGGTGGAACAGCCATTTCCTAACGACTCTAATTATTACCTAAAGAACGATCCAAACAATGTTCAGATGAATTATCTAAAAGGTGAGTTCAGATTAAGCAAACTTGATCCGTTACTTTTATTTTCTATGTTCCATTAAAAGGAGGCGGGACTTTTTAAGCCGACGTCTTAGAAGGAGGATCCATTTCTGTCAGATTTAAAAGCTTTAAGTTCTGTTTTTATTGTGTCAATGCAACCAATTAAAACTCACTGAATATTTCCACATCAAGCTCCGCCCATTACCTGAGTTCTGGTGAACAGTTTGACTGCCCCCTGCTGGTAATATATTAGTACTGAGTATTTCTGTGAATTCTGTAAATAAATCAAATATGCTGTAAAGCCTCCTCAGAGCTTCTAACCGGACTGATCTCCATCTTTACCTTCTCTCCAACATCTGCTGCAGCAGGTCCTCCCCCTCCTCGGCAGGCTCCGCCCCCGCCGCATTCTGCTCGTCACAAATGTTCCTCAGCTCGCTGGACGGGTACGACTTCATGGACTGGCAGCGCCGCCGCTGCTCCGCCGCACGGGAAACTATGTTGGTTTTCTGGGGGTAAAAAAAACACATTTTCTGTTTGGATGCTTGAAAGGAGCCCAGAGATTCACTGAAAGCTAAACATCACTGATGTCCATCATTCCTATTGAAATATTCCTCCTGGTTATGACTTTCAGATAAGCGGACGTCCAACTCCAGTCCTGAAGGGGGCGCCGTCCTTCCTGCTGTAGATGCAGGCCTGACTTTGAACCCACCTTGTTTGGAACATCAAACTAACCTCAGCAAACATCAAGACGACTTCTCAGATCATTTCTTTATAAACGTTTTTCTGTCAAATGAAAATAAAAATGGAACAAAAATGGTATGTGGGGGCCTGAGGCAGCTGCTGCTGGGGATTCCCAGTGACAGCGCAGCGCCGGTATGTGGGGGTCTGAGCGGCTCCCACAGAGAAATAATCTTTGAAGGCAGGATGGTAATCTGGATGAACTGACTGCACAGACCATGTTTTCAGGAGGACTTTCTCACTTCAACATAGATTCTAACTACTTTCTACCCGCTGATCACAGCTAATATAGCTGCCATTGTTCCAGGCAGAGAAAGGATAGAGTAGCTCCGCCCACCGCGCAGCTAGAGCAGCAAAGGTGCTTCAGCCAGGTCAGAACTAAATTTGTACAAGCATCAGAAATGAAGCAACACGCGCGTTTCTGATGCTCAGGGACCCAGAGTGGCAGTCTGTGGGAACCAAACTCACAACCTCAGGCTCTATATCCTAACCACTAGACCACCACTCCCCCGATTGTGATCAAAGATGAAATAAAAGACAACTATGACCCAGGACGGACGTATTTCTTGGTTGAAAGTTGACTGGGACTGAGGTAAAGATGGAAGATGGATCATTCATTTGTACCAACATCATTTATCAGCAGCTCAGGTAGCCAGGGTTTAGCTTAAACCACGTTAATCTGGTAAAACGGCGCCTTGCTGAAGGAAAACTGCGACACCAGGCATCAGTAAATCGACTTCTGTGGAGTGAAGAGAACCGGTGCTGCCTGGACCGGAGCGGTAAAGCTGACAGGGAGGCTCACCGCTGGGCTGGTCCCACCGAGCGCAGCCTGCTGGCTGGATTAGCAACAGAGGAACGGGAAGGAAGCTGGAGCGGCCTAGTCAAAGTCTGGACCTAAATCCTGTACAGACACTGGAGCTGAAGTATAAGGCTGAAACCTCCAACATGTCTGACTGAGTCGGGGGGGTCAGAGGTTACTGACCATCATCAGGCTTCCTTCCTCCCATCCATCAGCTTAATAAACTGAATATCAGAAAAGCAGGTTTTCTTTATCCAGAGAAATTCCTTTGAAGAATTTAAAGACGTCAGAAGAAGAAGGAACATTAGTGGAGGCGGCGAAGCGGCGAAGCGGCGAAGCGGCGCACCTTGAAGCGAATGTTGTTGCTGATCAGGATGTTGCCCTTCATGAAGTCCTGCTCGTTCTGCCGGTTTTCTGTGACCACGGGGAAGGCGTGGTAGACGGTGGTCCGCAGGATACTGACCAGAGACTGGACCCGGGTGTGGGGGTAAACGAAGGTCAGGTTGGGCTCCATGATGTCGCTGGCCGTCAGCCTGCAGAGACACAGGACGTCAGGACGTTTAATCGTTCCCTGTCATCATTCTGACACCTGAGGAGTCCTGCTCCTCCAAAGCCGCCTTACTTGTCCATCTCCACCTCCGTCTCCCACTCCAGCAGAGGGACTCCTTTCAGCTGGATGTGGATGTCATAGATGCCCTTGTTGAAGAAGTCTCCGGTCCATTTAGCCACCTAAAGGTCAAACAGCAGGTCAGCCTCGTCATTTACAACCATCATCGTCTTTAACTCAAACATTTCTCATTTCTGCCTGAAGCTGAAGAAAGTAAAGCTTTATTTATAAAGCTCCTTTCACAGACATCTGGGCTCACAGAGTGCTTTACTAGCATGCAGAATTAAAAGATTAGACAGTAAAAAAATAAATTTTTTTAGTAAGAAGTGTGCAGGAAGAACTGAGGAAGAAAATCAGGGAAGAACAGCAATAAAAAGATGGAGGATGAGCTGCAGGAGAACAACAGCAGAGGAAAACGCCTGAAGACCGTTTCAGGCCAGAACCAGTTTGATCAGCCCCCCCCCCCCCCCCTCCCCCAGCTCAGAACCCCCTGCTGGTACCTTCAACTTCTTCAACCACTGATTCTGCTCAGTTTCTACCTCAGTCAGTTAAATAACCTGCTGCTGTCATTCTGCACATCTCTGATGTTGCTTCTATTTTCAAATTACTGGAAAAATGTCCATAGCTGCTAATTGGTTATTTATTCTCCAGTTTTATATATAAAACACTTTACAGGATTTTATTTGTTTCCTATCTGTTATTTTTACACACTATTCTAAGGTCCACATTGTATTACCACTTCTACTATAACCTTTTGCTGCTGTAAAACCACTATTTCCCCATTATGGGACAATAAAGGGATTTTCTATTCTATTCTATTCTGTTCTATTCTATTCTGTTCTATTCCAAGCTGCTATCTAGCTTGAAGCTAGACTGGAAAAAATCTAAATCTAGATACTTTTTTTTCTTAAAATAAGTGCTTTTTCTGGAACTGAGGAGGTAAGCGAAACATTTTGCCAATAGAACAAGAGAATTTACACTTAAAATAAGAAAACACTGCATTTCCTTATTTCAATTGCATATTATCTAATGACCTTATTTGAAGAGTAAAAATCCTCCTTCCGATGGCAAACCATCTTATTTACCTGCTCACATTAAGGGGAAATACACCTAATTTGGGACATTTGGACATTTTAATGGATTGTCTTTGCAGTGAACAGAGCAGAAGAGATAAACAACCAGAGCGTCGAAGCGGCTCCACCAGTTTGATTCAGCCTTTGGTTTAAACGCAGCATTAGTGTTCCTAACTTTCCTCTCTGAACTTTAACCTTTAAGCTTCTATCTGCTAAGCAAAGCTGAAATATTTGTAGGTCTAATTTTCTTGAAAAACGAATATTTTCCCTTGATTTGAGCAGATAAGGCAATTCGCTAATGGAATAGAAGGATTTACATTAAAAATTAGAAAATAAAAATTCAATCATCTTATTTCAGGCCCTGACACCCAACCAATCATTTTAGTATATTTAATTCTTGAACCTAAGCCTTCATTTGGTAAATCTTCTTCTTATCTAAATAGATGAAATGATCTGAAGGCAAGTTGCTGCTCGGTCGTTGGACCTGATCTCATCAGGAGGTTCAGACTGGCAGCGTTTGGGAAACAATGGACTTTAAATCTTAAAAACCCTGAAATGATTCAGCAGCTTTATAATTTTTTCACTGACAGTTTGCCATAAACAGCAGAGGAACTTAAAGAGGCGGGCCGACACGGCTTCTCCACCAATCAACACTTAAAGCAACACTTTAAGATGCAGAAACTTTGGACATGAAATCATTTCTGTACGGCCTGAAAGGACGAGCAGCATCAGCACCATTAGAGTGATCATGATGGGCAGCCCGTAGGTGATCTCATTGGTGGATTCGATGAGGATGACTGTGAGGCTGATGGTCATCCTGACCACGCCCCCCAGGAAGGCGGCGGCTCCGATAAGGGCGAAGGTCCCAGAGTAGATTTGCAGGCCCAGCTTCCTGCCGAGGAGACAAACCCAGTTAGAACCAGTAAAGCTGCAGGCGCCAGCAGGCTGCATGAAACCACAGAGAAAGGTCCAGCTCTGACCGTCATCTCACGGCCAGCAGGGGGAGCCAGAGTCTGCTGAGGTTCTGCAACGCGTGCTGACATTTTAATCTTCTCATCTGAGCCTCATCAGTCTGCTAGGCTGGCTAAATATAGCCTAGATTCATGCTTCTAGATTCATGCGTCTAGATTCATGCATCTAGATTCAAGCTTCTAGATTCAAGCTTCTAGATTCAAGCTTCTAGCCGAGATTCAAGCTTCTAGATTCAAGCTTCTAGCCTAGATTCAAGCTTCTAGATTCAAGCTTCTAGATTCAAGCTTCTAGCCTAGATTCAAGCTTCTAGATTCAAGCTTCTAGATTCAAGCTTCTAGCCGAGATTCAAGCTTCTAGATTCAAGCTTCTAGATTCAAGCTTCTAGATTCAAGCTTCTAGATTCAAGCTTCTAGATTCAAGCTTCTAGCCTAGATTCAAGCTTCTAGCCTAGATTCAAGCTTCTAGATTCAAGCTTCTAGATTCAAGCTTCTAGATTCAAGCTTCTAGCCTAGATTCAAGCTTCTAGATTCAAGCTTCTAGATTCAAGCTTCTAGATTCAAGCTTCTAGCCTAGATTCATGCTTCTAGATTCAAGCTTCTAGATTCAAGCTTCTAGATTCAAGCTTCTAGATTCAAGCTTCTAGATTCAGGCTTCTAGATTCAAGCTTCTAGCCGAGATTCAAGCTTCTAGATTCAAGCTTCTAGATTCAAGCTTCTAGCCTAGATTCAAGCTTCTAGATTCAAGCTTCTAGATTCAAGCTTCTAGATTCAGGCTTCTAGATTCAAGCTTCTAGCCGAGATTCAAGCTTCTAGATTCAAGCTTCTAGCCTAGATTCAAGCTTCTAGATTCAAGCTCCTAGATTCAAGCTTCTAGCCTAGATTCAAGCTTCTAGATTCAAGCTTCTATATTCAAGCTTCTAGATTCAAGCTTCTAGCCGAGATTCAAGCTTCTAGATTCAAGCTTCTAGCCGAGATTCAAGCTTCTAGATTCATGCTTCTAGATTCATGCTTCTAGATTCAAGCTTCTAGATTCAAGCTTCTAGATTCAAGCTTCTGGCCGAGATTTAAGCTTCTAGATTCAAGCTTCTAGATTCAAGCTTCTAGATTCAAGCTTCTAGCCGAGATTCAAGCTTCTAGATTCAAGCTTCTAGCCTAGATTCAAGCTTCTAGATTCAAGCTTCTAGATTCAAGCTTCTAGCCTAGATTCAAGCTTCTAGATTCAAGCTTCTAGATTCAAGTTTCTAGATTCAAGCTTCTAGCCTAGATTCAAGCTTCTAGATTCAAGCTTCTAGATTCAAGCTTCTAGCCGAGATTCAAGCTTCTAGATTCAAGCTTCTAGATTCAAGCTTCTAGATTCAAGCTTCTAGATTCAAGCTTCTAGATTCAAGCTTCTAGCCTAGATTCAAGCTTCTAGCCTAGATTCAAGCTTCTAGATTCAAGCTTCTAGATTCAAGCTTCTAGCCTAGATTCAAGCTTCTAGATTCAAGCTTCTAGATTCAAGCTTCTAGCCGAGATTCAAGCTTCTAGATTCAAGCTTCTAGATTCAAGCTTCTAGATTCAGGCTTCTAGATTCAAGCTTCTAGATTCAAGCTTCTAGCCTAGAATCAAGCTTCTAGATTCAAGCTTCTAGCCTAGATTCAAGCTTCTAGATTCAAGCTTATAGCCTAGATTCAAGCTTCTAGATTCAAGCTTCTAGCCTAGATTCAAGCTTCTAGATTCAGGCTTCTAGATTCAAGCTTCTAGATTCAAGCTTCTAGCCTAGATTCAAGCTTCTAGATTCAAGCTTCTAGCCTAGATTCAAGCTTCTAGATTCAAGCTTCTAGCCTAGATTCAAGCTTCTAGATTCAAGCTTCTAGCCTAGATTCAAGCTTCTAGATTCAAGCTTCTAGATTCAAGCTTCTAGATTCAAGCTTCTAGCCTAGATTCAAGCTTCTAGATTCAAGCTTCTAGATTCAAGCTTCTAGATTCAAGCTTCTAGCCGAGATTCAAGCTTCTAGATTCAAGCTTCTAGCCGAGATTCAAGCTTCTAGATTCAAGCTTCTAGATTCATGCGTCTAGATTCATGCGTCTAGATTCATGCATCTAGATTCAAGCTTCTAGATTCAAGCTTCTAGATTCAAGCTTCTAGCCGAGATTCAAGCTTCTAGATTCAAGCTTCTAGCCGAGATTCAAGCTTCTAGATTCATGCTTCTAGATTCATGCTTCTAGATTCAAGCTTCTAGATTCAAGCTTCTAGCCGAGATTCAAGCTTCTAGATTCAGGCTTCTAGATTCAAGCTTCTAGATTCAAGCTTCTAGCCTAGATTCAAGCTTCTAGATTCAAGCTTCTAGCCTAGATTCAAGCTTCTAGATTCAAGCTTCTAGCCTAGATTCAACCTTCTAGATTCAAGCTTCTAGATTCAAGCTTCTAGATTCAAGCTTCTAGCCTAGATTCAAGCTTCTAGATTCAAGCTTCTAGATTCAAGCTTCTAGATTCAAGCTTCTAGCCGAGATTCAAGCTTCTAGATTCAAGCTTCTAGCCGAGATTCAAGCTTCTAGATTCATGCGTCTAGATTCATGCGTCTAGATTCATGCATCTAGATTCAAGCTTCTAGATTCAAGCTTCTAGATTCAAGCTTCTAGATTCAAGCTTCTAGCCGAGATTCAAGCTTCTAGATTCAAGCTTCTAGATTCAAGCTTCTAGATTCAAGCTTCTAGATTCAAGCTTCTAGCCAAGATTCAAGCTTCTAGATTCAAGCTTCTAGCCTAGATTCAAGCTTCTAGATTCAAGCTTCTAGATTCAAGCTTCTAGCCTAGATTCAAGCTTCTAGATTCAAGCTTCTAGATTCAAGCTTCTAGATTCAAGCTTCTAGCCTAGATTCAAGCTTCTAGATTCAAGCTTCTAGATTCAAGCTTCTAGCCTAGATTCAAGCTTCTAGATTCAAGCTTCTAGCCTAGATTCAAGCTTCTAGATTCATGCTTCTAGATTCAAGCTACTAGATTCAAGCTTCTAGATCCATGCTTCTAGATTCAAGCTTCTAGATTCAAGCTTCTAGCCGAGATTCAAGCTTCTAGATTCAAGCTTCTAGATTCAAGCTTCTAGATTCAAGCTTCTGGATTCAGGCTTCTAGATTCAAGCTTCTAGCCGAGATTCAAGCTTCTAGATTCAAGCTTCTAGCCTAGATTCAAGCTTCTAGATTCAAGCTTCTAGATTCAAGCTTCTAGCCTAGATTCAAGCTTCTAGATTCAAGCTTCTAGATTCAGGCTTCTAGATTCAAGCTTCTAGCCGAGATTCAAGCTTCTAGATTCAAGCTTCTAGCCTAGATTCAAGCTTCTAGATTCAAGCTTCTAGCCTGGATTCAAGCTTCTAGATTCAAGCTTCTAGATTCAAGCTTCTAGCCTGGATTCAAGCTTCTAGATTCAAGCTTCTAGATTCAAGCTTCTAGCCGAGATTCAAGCTTCTAGATTCAAGCTTCTAGATTCAAGCTTCTAGATTCAAGCTTCTAGATTCAAGCTTCTAGATTCAAGCTTCTAGATTCAAGCTTCTAGCCTAGATTCAAGCTTCTAGATTCAAGCTTCTAGATTCAAGCTTCTAGCCTAGATTCAAGCTTCTAGATTCAAGCTTCTAGCCTAGATTCAAGCTTCTAGATTCAAGCTTCTAGATTCAAGCTTCTAGATTCAAGCTTCTAGATTCAAGCTTCTAGCCTAGATTCAAGCTTCTAGATTCAAGCTTCTAGATTCAAGCTTCTAGCCGAGATTCAAGCTTCTAGATTCAAGCTTCTAGCCTAGATTCAAGCTTCTAGATTCATGCTTCTAGATTCAAGCTACTAGATTCAAGCTTCTAGATCCATGCTTCTAGATTCAAGCTTCTAGATTCAAGCTTCTAGCCGAGATTCAAGCTTCTAGATTCAAGCTTCTAGATTCAAGCTTCTAGATTCAAGCTTCTAGATTCAGGCTTCTAGATTCAAGCTTCTAGCCGAGATTCAAGCTTCTAGATTCAAGCTTCTAGCCTAGATTCAAGCTTCTAGATTCAAGCTTCTAGATTCAAGCTCCTAGCCTAGATTCAAGCTTCTAGATTCAAGCTTCTAGATTCAGGCTTCTAGATTCAAGCTTCTAGCCGAGATTCAAGCTTCTAGATTCAGGCTTCTAGATTCAGGCTTCTAGATTCAAGCTTCTAGCCTAGATTCAAGCTTCTAGATTCAAGCTTCTAGCCTAGATTCAAGCTTCTAGCCTAGATTCAAGCTTCTAGATTCAAGCTTCTAGCCTAGATTCAAGCTTCTAGATTCAAGCTTCTAGATTCAAGCTTCTAGATTCAAGCTTCTAGCCTAGATTCAAGCTTCTAGATTCAAGCTTCTAGATTCAAGCTACTAGATTCAAGCTTCTAGCCTAGATTCAAGCTTCTAGATTCAAGCTTCTAGCCGAGATTCATGCTTCTAGATTCAAGCTTCTAGATTCATGCTTCTAGATTCAAGCTTCTAGATTCAAGCTTCTAGCCGAGATTCAAGCTTCTAGATTCAAGCTTCTAGATTCAAGCTTCTAGCCTAGAATCAAGCTTCTAGCCTAGATTCAAGCTTCTAGATTCGAGCTTCTAGATTCAAGCTTCTAGATTCAAGCTTCTAGCCTAGATTCAAGCTTCTAGATTCAAGCTTCTAGATTCAAGCTTCTAGCCTAGATTCAAGCTTCTAGATTCAAGCTTCTAGATTCAAGCTTCTAGCCTAGATTCAAGCTTCTAGCCTAGATTCAAGCTTCTAGATTCAAGCTTCTAGATTCAAGCTTCTAGCCTAGATTCAAGCTTCTAGATTCAAGCTTCTAGATTCAAGCTTCTAGATTCAAGCTTCTAGCCTAGATTCAAGCTTCTAGATTCAAGCTTCTAGATTCAAGCTTCTAGCCGAGATTCAAGCTTCTAGATTCAAGCTTCTAGCCTAGATTCAAGCTTCTAGATTCAAGCTTCTAGATTCAAGCTTCTAGATTCAAGCTTCTAGATTCAAGCTGCTAGCCTCGTTGTAAACAACAATTCTTTAAATAATGAATGAACCTGATTGTTTCAGCCAATATTTCGGGATCAGTTTGCTTAATAATCCTTCATTCTTCACTGACACCATTGAAACCAGTCAGAAACATGGAAGAGTCTGAGAGCGTTTAACAGGAAACATGGCGGCCCTACAGGCTGGATGAGCGCCTGAGTCCAACGCAAACAACAAACAGTAGATCCTGCATCATAAAACTCCACCTGTTTCTTTTTTTAAGGAGGCGGGCATTTTATTTTGAATTCATGTCACCAAATTATGGCTTCCTCTCTCTTTCATAAAAGACGACTTAATTTATTTTCCATAAAAACCTCTGGAATAATGAAAGAAAAACTGCTGAATAATGCAGAAAGTGAGTGAAGGAGCTGCTTTAATTGGCTTTATGAGGCTCGTTTAAAGGCCACTTTGTTAATATTATACTTAAAATAAAAAAAATATATGCTTTGGTTATAATAAAAAAGTTATCAGGTTGGTATTGTATTTTATTTATCTAAATATACCCTAAATACTCTGATTAAGGTCTAACTGGACTTAAACGTTAGTTGTCGTGGGAACAGAAGCCTGATTTTTGTTAAATCAAGACAATCAATCATTTAATTTGCTGATTAATCATAGAAGGATTGCTGAGTAATTATCGATGCAGCTGTTAGTTGTAGGCCTGGTTTCTACGGATCCAGCTGATTGAAGCGATATTTCTTATTCTCTGATCTTAATGAATGTTTGCTTCCTTTTATCAGACCAAACTCATCTGCATCAGGATCTTGATCCAAAGGTTCGGTCTGCAGATCCTCTGATTTATATTCTAAAGATGAAAACTTTTCATATAAACCTCTGGGCATTTTTTCTTTCTTACACTTTGAGGATGTTTGCCACCAGACGTCCGAACGCCGCGCCGCACAGCAGAGACGGGACGAAGAGCCCGCTGGGGACAGAGACGCCGTACGTCCAACAGGCCAACAGGAAGTAGAGCAGGAAGAAGATGGACAGAGTGGCCGGGCTGAAGGTTCCTGTCAGGATGAGGCAGAGATGAACCATCATGGTCATTTTCATTCAACTTAGTTCAACTTCTTCATTAATAACTGATGCAAAAACCAAACAATCTGTAAATAATAAGGATCTTTAGGTCTTCATAAATAAATGTTTTAATCCATCTGTTTATATTTCTATCCTGCAGATCAGTGGCGGCCACCATCCTCAGCCTGGTTTATGGTAGATGAGGTCAGAGCCGTCGTGCCGTACCCACAGATGGTCAGGATAATAGACATGGAGTCTGAAAGCTAAAAACTACTGAGCTCCTAAAGAGAAACACACTCCTGTGCGACATTTATCATTTTGCAAAGTAGCTACAGCAATGAAGACGTCTGGTTCTCCTAAGTTCCACACCTTCTGGATCCGGTTCTTCTCATATCAGATGGACCTCTGTTCATCCATCCATCTCCTTCAGTTGACCAGTCATCAGCAGTTTGAACGAAGCTCACGACATAATCAAGGTTTCTGTTTCCTTTGAGCCGAAATAGGATACTTTCTCATTGAAATTCAGACACGTCTTTGGCTAGTAGCCAAACTGTAAATATAGTCTAACAGAAAACATAGTCTAATGAGTTCACTTACATCCATTTTAATGAACATGGTTGTCTAAAATACTCAAGCGATCGTGCAAGAAACTAACCAATGTGCCCGAGAGACCAGCTGGTGTGTTTTTTTTTCTTTTTTTTCTCTGTGTTTAGCTGCGTTTTACCCCATTTACACTACCCTTGACAAACCGGCCGAGACCGGTCCGAGCTCAGTAGCTGAGATAACTTATGGTGTGTAAATGGAAAGCAAACTGAACCGGACCGAGCTAGAACAACCGGACCGAGCTAGACACAACCGGACCGAGCTAGACACAACCGGACCGAGCTAGACACAACCGGACCGAGCTAGAACAACCGGACCGAGCTAACTGCAGACCAGTTCCAGAGGTGGGCTTGGATCGGTTCTCTGATAACAAGAGCGCATGAGCAGAACGCATCATCTCCGTCTGGCTGCACATCGCGATTCACACTCCATTCCAGTAGGTGGCAGTATTGCCCCTCCAGAAACAGAACAAGAACAACTATAAACAACAATCGGAATCTTCATCTTCTTGTGTTTTATGGCGGTTGGCAAACAACTGTTGGTGCATTACCGCCACCAACTGCTTGATTTCCTCCTTCAATACTGGCAGTAATACCGCAGATCGTCACTAGGAGGCGAGAAACCGAGATAGCGTGATGTGTAAACGGTCGTCAGAACTGAGCTCAGCCTGGTTAACTGATCCAAGCTCGGACCGGTCACGGCATGGATCGGTTTTTCAAAGGTAGTGGAAATGGGGTATTTGTCTCATTTATGAGCCTCAAAGATTACTGGCCCCACCCACCTAATGATCCTGAGTAAGACATAAAAAAAACAACCGCCCTTTTCCAGGGCCTGGTTTAGCTCCAAGGCTAGGTTAACTGCGCGCAGCGAGGCTGACTGCGCGCAGCGAGGCTGACTGCCTGCAGCGAGGCTGACTGCCTGCAGCGAGGCTAACTGCGTGCAGCGAGGCTGACTGCCTGCAGCGAGGCTGACTGCCTTCAGCGAGGCTAACTGCATGAAGCCTCCTTTTCAAATGTGAGGATCTGAGCCAGCATGGATAAAGACAGCTAGGACTGATTTAAAAAACTTTGTAGAAAAGAAGAACAGACAATCTGACTGCACGCAGCGAGGCTAACTGCCTGCAGCGAGGCTGACTGCCAGCAGCGAGGCTAACTGCGTGCAGCGAGGCTGACTGCCTTCAGCGAGGCTGACTGCCTTCAGCGAGGCTAACTGCGTGCAGCGAGGCTGACTGCCTTCAGCGAGGCTAACTGCGTGCAGCGAGGCTGACTGCCTGCAGCGAGGCTGACTGCCTTCAGCGAGGCTAACTGCATGAAGCCTCCTTTTCAAATGTGAGGATCTGAGCCAGCATGGATAAAGACAGCTAGGACTGATTTAAAAAACTTTGTAGAAAAGAAGAACAGACAATCTGACTGCACGCAGCGAGGCTAACTGCCTTCAGCGAGGCTGACTGCCTTCAGCGAGGCTAACTGCGTGCAGCGAGGCTGACTGCCTTCAGCGAGGCTAACTGCGTGCAGCGAGGCTGACTGCCTGCAGCGAGGCTAACTGCGTGCAGCGAGGCTGACTGCATGCAGCGAGGCTAACTGCATGCAGCGAGGCTAACTGCCTTCAGCGAGGCTAACTGCGTGCAGCGAGGCTAACTGCGTGCAGCGAGGCTAACTGCCTTCAGCGAGGCTAACTGCATGCAGCGAGGCTAACTGCGTGCAGCGAGGCTGACTGCCTGCAGCGAGGCTAACTGCCTTCAGCGAGGCTAACTGCGTGCAGCGAGGCTAACTGCATGCAGCGAGGCTAACTGCCTTCAGCGAGGCTAACTGCATGCAGCGAGGCTAACTGCATGCAGCGAGGCTAACTGCGTGCAGCGAGGCTGACTGCCTGCAGCGAGGCTGACTGCCTGCAGCGAGGCTGACTGCATGCAGCGAGGCTAACTGTATGCAGCGAGGCTAACTGCGTGCAGCGAGGCTAACTGCCTGCAGCGAGGCTAACTGCCTGCAGCGAGGCTAACTGCCTGCAGCGAGGCTAACTGCCTGCAGCGAGGCTAACTGCCTGCAGCGAGGCTGACTGCCTGCAGCAAGCTGACTGCCTGCAGCGAGGCTGACTGCCTGCAGCGAGGCTGACTGCCTGCAGCGAGGCTAACTGCCTTCAGCGAGGCTAACTGCCTGCAGCGAGGCTAACTGCCTTCAGCGAGGCTAACTGCGTGCAGCGAGGCTGACTGCATGCAGCGAGGCTAACTGCATGCAGCGAGGCTAACTGCCTGCAGCGAGGCTGACTGCCTGCAGCGAGGCTAACTGCGTGCAGCGAGGCTAACTGCGTGCAGCGAGGCTAACTGCGTGCAGCGAGGCTAACTGCCTTCAGCGAGGCTAACTGCCTTCAGCGAGGCTAACTGCGTGCAGCGAGGCTGACTGCATGCAGCGAGGCTAACTGCATGCAGCGAGGCTAACTGCCTGCAGCGAGGCTGACTGCCTGCAGCGAGGCTAACTGCGTGCAGCGAGGCTAACTGCGTGCAGCGAGGCTAACTGCCTTCAGCAAGGCTAACTGCGTGCAGCGAGGCTGACTGCATGCAGCGAGGCTAACTGCATGCAGCGAGGCTAACTGCGTGCAGCGAGGCTAACTGCCTGCAGCGAGGATAACTGCGTGCAGCGAGGCTGACTGCGTGCAGCGAGGCTGACTGCATGCAGCGAGGCTAACTGCGTGCAGCGAGGCTAACTGCCTTCAGCGAGGCTAACTGCGTGCAGCGAGGCTGACTGCATGCAGCGAGGCTAACTGCATGCAGCGAGGCTAACTGCGTGCAGCGAGGCTAACTGCCTGCAGCGAGGATAACTGCGTGCAGCGAGGCTGACTGCGTGCAGCGAGGATAACTGCATGCAGCGAGGCTAACTGCGTGCAGCGAGGCTAACTGCGTGCAGCGAGGCTAACTGCCTGTAGCGAGGCTAACTGCCTTCAGCGAGGCTAACTGTGTGCAGCGAGGCTGACTGCATGCAGCGAGGCTAACTGCATGCAGCGAGGCTAACTGCGTGCAGCGAGGCTGACTGCATGCAGCGAGGCTAACTGCCTGCAGCGAGGCTAACTGCCTGTAGCGAGGCTAACTGCCTTCAGCGAGGCTAACTGCGTGCAGCGAGGCTGACTGCATGCAGCGAGGCTAACTGCATGCAGCGAGGCTAACTGCCTGCAGCGAGGATAACTGCGTGCAGCGAGGCTGACTGCGTGCAGCGAGGCTGACTGCATGCAGCGAGGCTAACTGCGTGCAGCGAGGCTGACTGCATGCAGCGAGGCTAACTGTGTGCAGCGAGGCTAACTGCATGAAGCCTCCTTTTCAAATGTGAGGATCTGAGCCAGCATGGATAAAGACAGCTAGGACTGATTTAAAACACTTTGTAGAAAAGAAGAACAGACAATCTGGGATTCACATGGAAAATAATAGAATATAGTCTACTTTCTCTACATGTTGTTCATTTGCATAATTGCTCTTAAATAAACACATTCTCAGAAAATAGATTTTATAGCTTCTCCTGGTTCTTTTTTTTTTAGATTTGTGAGGCAATATTAGACCATGCAGAACCCAGATTAACCTTCACAGCCTCAGAAGGGAAAGATTTATGGACAAGAAGTAAACCTGGACATGAAATTATATTTTTATAAAGTGTTTTTATAATGTCTTTTGTTGTTGGCAGTCATATAAATATACTGGTGTAACTTAGTATAAGTTTGACTGGTTTTTGGTAAACGTCTACTTTGAATTTATAGCGCCCGCTGGAGGAAACTCCAGCAGCTGCAGAAGAAGGTTTTAGTGACTGAAAACAGGCCTGATTACATGTTAAACATGCTGGATCATCATCGTCAGCATGGCCCTCACCGTCCTGGTGGAAGAGCTGGTGGATGGCGGCCTCCTGCGGGTTGAAGAACAGCGTGGCCATGTCGTTGTAGGTTTGATTGGAGCAGAAGAACTGCCGGATGGTGGAGTTGATGTCGTCGCCGCCTGAAAGCTGCAAAAAAACAAACCGACGTCTGACTCTTTGCTGCCTGACCACAGAACAAGATCTCCGTTATGAAACTGCTCTAAGCTGGATGGAAAGTCTCCATCATTTCTACAGAGATTCATTCAATTCCCAGTTGAGCTCATAAGTTTACACACCCTGTTGACTTTTAGACGTTTAATATGAATAACAGCCCAGAAATCACTTCATCACGCCAGAATGATTTGACATTTAAACATGTTTCCCTATGATTTTAACCCCCCCCTGCTCTCCGGGCGCCACACCATGGCAGCCCGCTCTTCCAGGGGGAGGGGTTAAATGCAGATCCACTCCTCGTTCAGGTGAAATAATCATGAATATTTTTAATTATTTTCTCTTTGGCCACTTTTGATATTCTTCTCCTATAATTCTATAAAATCCTTATTATTCAAAGTGAGCCGTTTCAACCTTTACTTGTAAACTTATCTGTATTATTTTAATCGTTTTATTTGTATAAAAGTTATTTATTCTGCACTTTAAATTTACTTTGTGAACCAAATGTATAAAAATCAATTCAATGCTAGTTATTTTTTCAACCTTTTGATAAAAAGAAAATCCTGAATCATTAAGCGGCATAGAAACCAATTTCACTTCTATTCTATTCAGTCTATTTCTATAGCTCTAATTCACATCATGTCATCTCAGGTCACTTTCCAGTTCAACCAGATCATCCAGTCAGTTTGATTCAAAGTTTTCTATCTAAGGAAAACCAGCTGATTGCATCGACTCATTGACTCTTCAGCAATCCCTCACACTAAGCATGCTTGTAGCGACAGTGGAGAGGAAAAACTCCCTTTGAACAGGAAGAAACCTCCAGCAGAACCAGGCTCAGTGTGAGCGGCCATCTGCTGAGGCCCACTGGGGTTCAAGGAGACAGAAGCAGACATAGAAAAAGAAGCATAGATACAAAAGGCAACTGTCAACCAGCTCCACAGGCGGCCCCGTCCAGGAAACACACAGCCAGGCAGACGAGCTCCGAGCCAGCTCCCATGTCAGAGGATGAAGAGAGCACATCCATTTAGTCACAGTCAGAGAAACAGGACTACACTGGAAAACAGGCCAAGCTCCAACATCTAGAAACAAAGGTGTTGATGGCAGCAGCACAGCTGATATTTCTCTCCAGGATGGAGTCACAGCCAAACAGGAACAGACCAGATGAAGCTACTATGAGAAAAAAGCAGAGAGAGCAGAACGTTAGAGATTGAACTAACAGATTCTGCAGAGTGGGAAAATAGAGATAGAATGAAGCAGAATGATGAAATGGGGGTCCCTATGTCCTCCAGCAGTCTAAGCCTATAGCAGCAGAACTATAGAGATAGCTCAGGATAACCTGAGCCACTCTAACTAGAAGCTTTATCAAAAAGGAAAGTTTTAAGCCTAGCCTTAAAAGTAGACAGGGTGTCTGCCTCACGGACTAAAACTGGTAGTTTGTTCCACAGGAGAGGAGCCTGATAACTAAAAGATCTGCCTCCCATTCTACTTTTAGAAATTCTAGGAACCACTAGTAAACCTGCAGATTGAGAGCGAAGTGCTCTGTTAGGAACATAAGGAACAATCAGATCTCTGATATAAGATGGAGCTTGGCCATTTAAGGCTTTATATGTGAGAAGGAGGATTTTAAATTCTATTCTCTGAAAGTTCAACTGGATCAAAGCAGTCTAAACGTCGATGCAATCAGCTGGTTTTCCTTAGATAGAAAACTTTGAATCAATTTGACTGGATGATCTGGTGAACTGGAAAGTGACCTGAGATGACATGTGTCGTTAATTGCCGCTATATAAATTAACTGAATTAAACCGGTTCAGATTCCATGACTACCTCAGATGCTGCCCCCCCCTCCAGAGACAAACCAATCACAGATAGAGGAGTGCTAATGATCTTATTTTTAATAAGATCAATCATATTTATAAAGAATCCCATAAAATCATTGCTGCTAAGAGCAGGTGGAATGGACGGTTCAACAGAGCTATGGCTCTGGGTGAGTTTGGAAACTGGATTAAAAAGAAATCTAGGATTATTCTAATTCTCCTCTATTAATGAGGAGAAGTATGCTGCTCTTGCTTTACAAAGGGTCCTCTTATACAGCAGTAAACCATTTTTCCAGACTAGGAAGGACTCCCGCAGGCCTGTGGAGCGATATTTTCTCCCCAGTTTCCTAGCATTTTGCTTCAAAGTATGCAGCTCTGCATTAAACCAAGGAGCAAGCTTTCTATTTTTAATGATTTTCAAAGGAGAAAGCGAAGCAGATTCTTTAAAATTTATAACTGCACTATCTGATAAAGATCTACTAAAATGTAACCTTCTTTTGGGGGAGGAGAACTCTGTTAAAGTAATCCTGAAGGTTATTAGAAAGTGGTCAGAGAGGACAGGGTTGTGAGGAAATACTGTTATTTCTTCACATTCTATGCCGTATGTCAGCACAAGATCCAAAGTATGAAGATGAGAATGCGTGGGACTATTCACATTTTGAACAAAGCCAATAGTGTCTAAGATAGCATTAAAGGCTGCTCTTAAGCTATCGCCTTCAATGTCAGCATGGATGTTAAAATCTCCCACTATGATGACCCTGTCAGTATTTAATACCAAATCAGAAAGGAATTTGAAATCTCATCTGAAAATTCAGAGTAAGGACCTGGTGGACGATACAAAGTTACAAAAAGAAGAGGTTTTCTGGCTTTGGTAAATCCGTTACTATAGCAACCCATACAGCAGCTTCGCCATCAGAGATAAACTCATGAATGAGCAGGCTGGGATCAGTGTTACACCCTGTGAAGAACCGCGGTAAACAAACATTTAAATATAAAATAAATATATAAATATAAATTGGTAAAATATTAAAGGGAAGGAATCTCAATTTAAAAAAAAGGACTTTTCAAATTTGGTTTTCCAGGAATCATGGTTTTCTGTCTTTATTTTTCGAGCTCTGGTGCGTTTTCATTTAAAACTTCATAAAAATTATATCTATAGTCATCCGTGCAGATTAACAGGGATGAACCCGTCAGAAACCGGCCCAGGATCCATCAAAACGCAACCTGGTGGGGAGGTCTGTGTCAGCGGCAGCTAGGACGGCAAACGGGTCAGACTCACCGTAGAGTTACTAGGCGTCGGGGAGGAAAGGTCACGGCATTCACCCACCAGAACCGAGGCAGAAAATATCACCACTGTGGTCACCATGGCGACCAGCAGGCTCTCCAGCACTCTGTGGAAAAAGCGGCGTGAAGTTGACAAGAATCGACCTGCAGGTGTCCGGCTGTGTGTGTGTGTGTGGGGGGGGGGGGGGGGGGGGGGGGGGGGGGGGGGGGGGGGGGGGGCTCACCTGATGAACTTGGCTTTAGGATGGATGTGCCGCATGCGATACTTGGCCAGGCACTTGTTCATGCAGTTGAAGAGCGCCCCCAGCAGGCCCCCCACCACACCCATGAGGACGAAGAAGCCCAGGTCCACGGCGGTCCACAGGTGGCACCGCTTGTCTCCATCTGAACACTGACAGGCCGAGAGGACGGGCGTCGTTAGAGCACCGGGGGAATACGGACGGTTATGTGAAAATATTGTGTTACTGTTAGACATTCATCCCCTAAATGGGCCCCTGAGGGCCCCTCTGCAGCACAGCTGATTTCCACTGGTAGCTGATTAACAGGCTTCTGCTGAACCGCAACCATCAGAATCAGCTGTGCTAAAGCAGAGAAACCTCTAAAACCTGCAGGACAGCGGCCCTCAGGGGCCCGCTTAGGGGACGCCTGCGTTAGACTGACAGAAAGAAAAGCTATGAAGCTTCTGTTTGCTTCGCTTCACAACAGGAAAAGAACGAAGGCAGCTTTTTAACAAACATTCAGACAAAACCAAGAAAGGAGACAAAGAATAATGTTTAAAGAATAAAGTTTTACAGAATAAAGATGACGGTTCAGATTAGTTTACAGCCATATTTTAAAGAGATAAAATATCAAAGACAGGATCCCCATGATGGAGGCGTCACCTTAAACTCTCCAAAGTTCAGGAGTCCAGGCAGCTGGAAGGAGCCCCATTTGTTAAAGTTGATCCCGGAGCGGAAGAAGTTCAGCGTGAAAGTGGCCGACATGGAGCAGAAGAGCTGAAAGAACAAAGAAAACCCGCTGGAGACCTGATCCGTTCATCTGTGGAAACTTTACTGATCCAACAACAGCAACCAGAACCAAAGAAAACCTGCTGACCGATAAATACTTTAAAGGAGAAGTCGTTCATATTCAGAATCCAAACTTCTGAAAGTTCTTTAAATGTGAAATGATTCCATCCTGTTCAATAAATGATCAGTGTTTTTAATTCAGAGTCATTTTCATGTGAATGTGCTTTACTGGAGGCATCCATGTTTGTCAAAGAACACTACTGCCACCTACTGGTTAGTGATGTCACGGTGCGGTATCGGCTGTTGATCAAGTCCCAGTGCTGTATCTGGTGTTTGTCACAACGCGCTATTATCCAAGTCATCTTGAAAACATTCTTCTTCCAAATGTTGGCTACATATTACGGGTTTAAAATTATTAATTTTATTTTTCTACTGATTAACTCTAAATTCATTAAATCACTGCGAACGTTTTAGATTTAGGTATAAATAAGGTTTATTCCTCGCTGACCGGACTTTTTATTTAAAGACAAACCTTTTGGTAAAACCTGTAAAAATAAAAACCTTTACTGATTTAAATATTTCTACAGGGCCTTAATGGAGCAAATGAACAGATTCAGCTTCCAGTCACTGGTTCCAGTCACTGGTTCCAGTCTGATCCTTTGCTTCGTTTCACCAACCAAACATATCAGAACCAGACGCCTCAGCAAACAGGATTAGGGCTGAAACCATTAACTGGATTAATCAATTATTGACAGAATTATCAATTAATTCAGTAATCGATTATTCATTAAATGGAGCATAGAGACTAAAAGGTGCCTTTATCTGACAGAGCGACCCGCTTAGAGCAGGAATTATATCCAACGTTTTAAAACTAATATATAAACATTTCACGTTTAATATATAACTTTCATCTGTCTCTATAATCCAGAACTCCTCAAATGGAAAAGTTTTACTTTAACCTGGTTTCATTTCGTAAAAAGTCTTCTTTAAGGAATCTCTGGCTTTGCCATCATTAATGGGAAGAAAATAACTGACAGATTAAGGCTGAGCTTAACTAAGCTCAGATCTGAAGGCAGAGGAGACAACATACGGTTCAGAAAGGTTTCAGAGAAAGAAATCAACTGTTATTGTTTTTGTAGAAACTGTCTGCGTTGATGAGTGACCTTCAGGTGACCTTCGGCCGCGCAGCACCTGATTCCCTCCCTGTTTGCTGGAAGATCGCCTTCATTTGACTAAAGGGTTAAAGTCCTGCTGGGGGGTACGTACCACTTTCCAGGTGAGGGCCTGGTTCCAGAATGAAGAGCCCTCCTCCAGACTGAAGAGAGTGCCCCCTATTGGAGCCCCGAAGGCAGCGGCGACTCCAGCAGCCGCTCCAGCCGACACAAAGTCTCGCTTGTCCCTGAAAGGCAGATTCAACATCCAGCAGGTCGCCTTCCACAGCAGGACAACAAGATCCCAGCAGATCCTACCTGTCACTGCGGAAATACGGGAAATCAAACTTGATCCTCTTGAAAGTGATGCTCTGAAACTGATGGAGAGAAGAGAGAGAAGATTAGGAACCAGGATCAACCCTGAACTGGTCACCAGTCCAGAGGAACCAGGATCAACCCTGAACTGGTCCCCAGTCCAGAGGAACCAGAATCAACCCTGAACTGGTCACCAGTCCAGAGGAACCAGGATCAACCCTGAACTGGTCCCCAGTCCAGAGGAACCAGGATCAACCCTGAACTGGTCCCCAGTCCAGAGGAACCAGGATTAACCCTGAACTGGTCCCCAGTCCAGAGGAACCAGAATCAACCCTGAACTGGTCCCCAGTCCAGAGGAACCAGGATCAACCCTGAACTGGTCCCCAGTCCAGAGGAACCAGGATCAACCCTGAACTGGTCCCCAGTCCAGAGAAACCAGAATCAACCCTGAACTAGTCCCCAGTCCAGAGAAACCAGGATTAACCCTGAACTGGTCCCCAGTCCAGAGGAACCAGGATTAACCCTGAACTGGTCCCCAGTCCAGAGGAACCAGGATCAACCCTGAACTGGTCCCCAGTCCAGAGGAACCAGGATCAACCCTGAACTGGTCCCCAGTCCAGAGGAACCAGGATTAACCCTGAACTGGTCCCCAGTCCAGAGGAACCAGGATCAACCCTGAACTGGTCCCCAGTCCAGAGGAACCAGGATCAACCCTGAACTGGTCCCCAGTCCAGAGGAACCAGGATTAACCCTGAACTGGTCCCCAGTCCAGAGGAACCAGGATTAACCCTGAACTGGTCCCCAGTCCAGAGGAACCAGGATCAACCCTGAACTGGTCCCCAGTCCAGAGGAACCAGGATCAACCCTGAACTGGTCCCCAGTCCAGAGGAACCAGGATCAACCCTGAACTGGTCCCCAGTCCAGAGGAACCAGGATTAACCCTGAACTGGTCCCCAGTCCAGAGGAACCAGGATTAACCCTGAACTGGTCCCCAGTCCAGAGGAACCAGGATCAACCCTGAACTGGTCCCCAGTCCAGAGGAACCAGGATTAACCCTGAACTGGTCCCCAGTCCAGAGGAACCAGGATCAACCCTGAACTGGTCCCCAGTCCAGAGGAACCAGGATTAACCCTGAACTGGTCCCCAGTCCAGAGGAACCAGGATCAACCCTGAACTGGTCCCCAGTCCAGAGGAACCAGGATTAACCCTGAACTGGTCCCCAGTCCAGAGGAACCAGGATCAACCCTGAACTGGTCCCCAGTCCAGAGGAACCAGGATTAACCCTGAACTGGTCCCCAGTCCAGAGGAACCAGGATTAACCCTGAACTGGTCCCCAGTCCAGAGGAACCAGGATTAACCCTGAACTGGTCCCCAGTCCAGAGGAACCAGGATTAACCCTGAACTGGTCCCCAGTCCAGAGGAACCAGGATCAACCCTGAACTGGTCCCCAGTCCAGAGGAACCAGGATTAACCCTGAACTGGTCCCCAGTCCAGAGGAACCAGGATTAACCCTGAACTGGTCCCCAGTCCAGAGGAACCAGGATCAACCCTGAACTGGTCCCCAGTCCAGAGGAACCAGGATTAACCCTGAACTGGTCCCCAGTCCAGAGGAACCAGGATTAACCCTGAACTGGTCCCCAGTCCAGAGGAACCAGGATCAACCCTGAACTGGTCCCCAGTCCAGAGAAACCAGAATCAACCCTGAACTGGTCCCCAGTCCAGAGGAACCAGGATCAACCCTGAACTGGTCCCCAGTCCAGAGGAACCAGGATCAACCCTGAACTGGTCACCAGTCCAGAGGAACCAGGATCAACCCTGAACTGGTCCCCAGTCCAGAGAAACCAGAATCAACCCTGAACTGGTCCCCAGTCCAGAGGAACCAGGATCAACCCTGAACTGGTCCCCAGTCCAGAGGCTGAACTGGTCCCAGGAACCAGGAACCCAGTCCAGTTCCAGGTTTTAGGAAGGAAGTACCTGAGGAAGTCCTGCTCCCACTATGGCTCCACTGTGGATCATCGGACCTTCTTTTCCCACAAACAGACCTGAGAACAGAAACAGCGTCTGCAGCAGATCAGTTCCAGCAGATCTTCCAGGTCTTCCTGACCTTCGGTCTGTTAACCGTCCATCTCTTCCATCACTTCTGTTCTTTCCTGACATTTAAACTTTCATTCTAACCAGAATAAAAACATTCAGGATTTGACAGTAAAACGTTCTCCAGCCTTTTCAAACCAGCTATAGTCCAAAAACGCTTCAAGCTGCAGAGACCTTGAACTGCAGCTCAGAATAAAAACAGTCCGATGGCGGCCGACTGTCAGAGCTCAGCTATGGATGGCAGAGGGATAAAAGGCCTAAACACCGTCTGACCAATCACTGCTTCATGACTCTGCTGCTTCCCTGTAGTATTTGACCCTTTTCAAAGGAATAGTACACCCAAAACATGATTAGCCTTCATTTTCTACTCAGCCCCATGCTGAACAACACTCTGGAGTACTTTTTTGATATCTCAAATGCATCTGGAGATCTGGGAGGCTTCAAATAATGGAGGTCTATGGCGCCCGAGGCAGAAAGGTCCATAAAAGTCCACAAAAAACGTGTCAATATTCCTCCATACTGCTCGTCCAATGTATTCCAAGTGTCCTGAGTGGGTAGCGTCCAGAATTTACTCGAAACGAAGTCATTTAGAATGTTTTTAGAGCATAAACAGTAGTGTATAGGATTTCCTAAAAGCGCGTTCACGAGTCTACGGAAACCGGCAGACCAAACCAGATGAAAGTGCACATTCAGCTCGGCAAAGAACTCATGCTCTTCCTCAACACTGAAGTCCTCAGACATTTTTCTTTCGTGGTTTCTTTCTTTGCACAGGTAAACAGCACATTTCTTCTTCTACGCTTGCATTATCGGCAGAGCAGACGCTGAATGCGCACTTTCATCTGGTTTGGTCTGCCGCGGTTTCCGTAGACTCGTGAACGCGCTTTCAGGAAATCCTATACACTACTGTTTATGCTCTAAAAACATTCTAAATGACTTCGTTTCGAGTAAATTCTGGACGCTACCCACTCAGGACACTTGGAATACATTGGACGAGCAGTATGGAGGAATATTGACACGTTTTTTGTGGACTTTTATGGACCTTTCTGCCTCGGGCGCCATAGACCTCCATTATTTGAATGTCAGCAGACAGCAAGAAGCCTCCCAGATCTCCAGATGCATTTGAGATATCAAAAAAGTACTCCAGAGTGTTGTTCAGCATGGGGGTGAGTAGAAAATGAAGGCTAATCATGTTTTGGGTGTACTATTCCTTTAAGCTAAATTCTGGAGAACTTCAAGATTGTTTTGTAACAAACAAACTTTTTACAGACTATTAACCTGCATATAGATCTAACCACCCAACCTCTGCTGCAATGATTCATGACTGATAACCGGCTTAAAGCCAGAGATAATTCTAGGTTGGTTAGTAGTCTGGACCTGGATTTTAGGGAATACATTAGTAGTTGAATAACTTTAATTTTATGGTCTTAACTGTTCTGCATTAAAGTGGATAGAAAGCTTTCTGTCTTTTAGAAAAGTTTTCTCTGAATGTCAGCCTCGAGTGTGGAGCTCCACAGGGCAGCTGCTTGGGCCCTTCACTAATCTCAATCTTTACTAATGATCTGGTTTGGGCTGCAGCAATGCCAGAACTGATATTGCTTTGCATTAAGCTGCACCTTCATGCAGTGAATTCAATCAGGTTTAAAGCAGAAAACTGAATGTGGAACAATAGTTGCCATTCAACATTTCCACAGTTTCCTTGATGGGTCCATGGCTGATCCTACAATTCCTTTCTAAACATCAATCTTTCTACTAAAATATTCTTTCTGTCATGATTTGTGGACATTAAGATCTAAAGAGAAGCGCCATCTCCTGGTCAGACCATGTAACTCAGTGAAAGGGTGGAGTCAGAGTAAAAACATATGTAGGGGGGGGGGGGGGGGGGGGGGGGTATAAATGGCTGCTAATGTACTGGACTGGGTGGAGTCTAACAAACCGGCCATCAACATCTCTAAGACCAAGTCGATGGTGATTGCTTCAAGGCAGAAGCTATCTGCAAACCCAGAGCTTGATTTACAGTTTGTGGTTTGATGGTTGAACCAGTTGAAAGAGAAACTCCTCGGTGTGATGGGAGACTGTTCTGTCTGGGTTTCACCACAATAATCAGATTATTGTGAAAATGGTAAAAGCAATCGGTACTGCAAGGAAATGCTGCACTTTAGTGTCCCGTCACGTTTTATGTCTTCAGAGTCTAGTCATCCGTCATCCTGACTGCTGAGCTCCAGTTCTGCCATCTGCTGCCTGGGAAAGTCAAAAAGCTGCAGGTAGAAGGTTTGGTACCAGGCGGCCATGTTAGATCTAATGGCCGCCAGTCCCGGCTTACCGTTGAGAATAAGCTGCTTTTTAATAAACTTATGCTGTTTAAGTCCCTCCTGAGCAGTAAAGTCTCAGCTTTTATACATTTATAAATTGTTTTTAGTAATTCTGTTAATGATCTTCCAGTATTCCAAAAGCCAAACTCTAAACAGATCTTTTTTATATAAATCATTGCTTCTTTAGAACAATCTACCTCCATAGATCTGCTGCACTCATCGCTAATTATCTCTTTAAGAGATTCTGAGAATCCATTTTAAAGGGTTTTCGTTTTATTTTAGTTGTTCTTTTGTGTTTTCTCTGAACATTTCTAAACCATGTTTTTAATCTGGACCCCAGGAAGACTAGCCGTTCGCCATGGCAACAGCTAATGGGGATCCTTAATAAAATGACCTAATTAATCAACTCAGGCAGGTCTGTAAAGGTTCCTCTGATTTATAAACCAAAGCATTTTAGATTGGTAATCTATTTTAGGAACAATTACCTCCCAGTTCTCCTGATTTTAACGTAGATAAAGAACATCTAGCTTCTCTATGGCAGACCAACAGCCCAGCGTCTGGTTTCCTGTTTCTAATCTGAACCTCCAGCCACCCGCTGATCTTTGGGTTCTGGTCCCACCCAGAAGCTGCAGGGCCCCATCCCTCACAGCCTGGAGGCGTCTTATGATTTCATCAGATGATCAGACCAATTAATGGTCCTTCTTCCCAAAATGCAAACATGAAGAGAAAAAGGAAAGGTAGCGATGGTTTTTACCTCCAGCCACACTGAACAGGACGCCGGCGGCTTTGCAGAGAAACGTTCGCAGCCGAACGATTCCCGGGATCTTCACTCCGTTCAGGTAGCTCTTGATCTCTGGGATGCCAGAACCTGAAGCCACGGGCTGGAAAACAGAGCGACATGTTGGCATTTCAAAGAAAGGTTAGAAGCAGCTGGAGCAGGCTGGCGGGTCACCTCGATGAGGACGAGGACGCTGGCGATGAAGACAAACACCAGGTTGAAGGTGAGGAGCTCCAGTAGAGACAGAGACAGGCAGCCTTTATCGGTGCACCGCTCTATAGCTGCAGGTCTTAGATAAGGTCCAATCTCTGAGAAGAACATCTAAGTTTTACAAAAAAATTTAAATCAATCCACTGGACTTTGTTTCCAAGTTTGAAGACGTTTCTCTTCCATCCAGGAAGATTTTTCAATCCAAAATGTCAGAAATAGTTTAGTTTAGTTCCAGGTTTTATCCAGCAGCCCAACAAAGCCTAGCCTGACGTAGTCCTACTCCATTCTAGTCAGAATGAGTCTGATGCTGCTCCATAGAGCTGTGATTATGGGGCGTGTTTCGAACGAACCAGGAAAAAAAATGCCTCTGCGCTCAATTGGATAGACCTACAACCAATAAGAGCAACGGAGTGCGTGACGTATGTTAAGCCACGCATAGTTGATGTCAACAAAAATCAAAGCGTGCAGTTTCACGCCTAGAATAAGAAGATGAGCCTTGATCGCGTTTCTCTGTTCCTCTTTTAAAATTAATTTGCTGTCGATATCTTCTAGAACAGACCTAATAGCAGAATCTACTCACCTCAACTCTCCAGCGGCAGCCATTGTTGTTGTCACCCAAGCGCGCTTTGGTCACGTGGTTGATTACGTTACTGTTGATCATCTGTCCATCATCATATAAAGCCCGCCCTGACAATTTGATTGGCCCACAAGATATTGTGCTAGCATACTCGCGCTACTATTGAGCAATGCCAGACCGAACTTCCCGACCTCAAACCTTGTGGGCGGGACTAAGTTCGGAATGGCACCCAGGCTCAACATGCAAATAGAAACGGATGAACGGGTCCCCCCCTTTGGAATGGGGGTCGTTTGGCTCTTTTTTTAGCCTGCAATGCCCCATACATGTCTATGTCTCTGAAAGGGGGGTCGTTAGAGGGAATTGTTGGCCTGGCTGAATAGGTGAGGTCTTCTGTTGCGTTTTATTAGCTGCGACATGAATCAACCGAAATCATTTGATTGACAGATGAGCGTTGAGGTATGATTGGCCGAATTTAGTCGTCAGGCTGACGTAGAACTAACTGGCCTGCAGAAGATAACGAAAAAAAAAGATTTTAAGACAGGATTTAAAAAAAAAAATAAAATTTCTAAATTTTGGGACAATATGCTCTGATAAAGAGAACATTTATATCCATGTTTAAGCCAGAATGATTTGATATTTAAATATAATTTCCCTACCACTTTAAAGTTAGTTTTTCTCTCTTAACATTTCTGGAAGGACTGGGAATCTTCTCCAGCTTCCTGCTGGTTTGCTGACGTTAAAGGATACAGTCACCGACCAGGGAGAACTTGATTTTAGTGAAGAGATGCACAAAGAAGTCCACAAAGAGTCCAACCTGAGGGAGACACAGAGGACAGGTCTTCTGTCTCGCTGGAGTCGGATGAGCGAAGACGATGGAGACGTGAACCTACCAGACCCACGGCGACGCCGATCACAAACACCATGACCCAGCGCACCGCTTCGTACTGCCTGGCTTTCTGTGGACAACATGGAAATACAACCACAGAGTTTCAAAGTGCTTCATTTAAAATACTCTTTAAATGAAGAATAATAAATTTTGTTTGCTTTTTAAACAGGGATGAGTTTCTTCCAGAGGAAACCTTCAGGACCAGAGAATGAAAGTCATCTGGTAGATGAGCTTCCATGGAGAAGCCAACTATCCACCTCCATACAGGAGGAGGATCTTTATTAGAATAAACACAGAATTTATAGAATCTGTTAATTTGATGTAAAACAAGATAAGATCAACTTAGTGATCTCCCATTAGAGAAATTCACATCGCCTCAATAATCAAAAAAAAAGAAGAAATCTACAGGAATAAATAACTTTTGGACATAAAATTAGCAAAATAAGAACTTTGTTGAAAAGCTGAATTTCCACAAAGCAGGAAAAATAAAACATTAAAAAATTCTGTTTTTACTACTGAAGCTAAGGTTAAATAACAGCCTTTAAATGGAGGAAAACGCTGCCTGGTAGAATCACATTAAACCAACTGACTTTATTTCCCTTTAATCCTCTCAGGTAGAGTTCAGATAAACTCAGTCAGGAGTTTTTATGCGTCATCAGGAAGAGAAAACAAGGTTTAAAACTAAATTCAGTCTTTATTCTGTTAAGAAATATTCATCTGTCCACTCCAGTTCCAGTTTATTTGATGCATTTTATACCGTGATAGAAATTAATCAATAAAAGTGGTTGTATAGATCTAGTTTTAATTTAGTTTTCCAGTTTTATTACGGTATTCTGTTGGACTGATGGTTCCATGTAGAAACCATGAAGCCCAGGTGTTTGGTCTTTTTTACCTGTGTGTCAGCCATCTTGGTCTCACTGACTTTTTTTTTTCATTGCAATGATCCAGAAATGGGATTTTTCTGTATGGGATTATGCTATAGTTAAACTAGATTAAACTATAAGCTTTAGTTCCCAGAATGGAAATCTAGTGTTGACCACTGAAACTAAAAGCCAATAATTCAGGGTTTGAATCTCCTATTGTGATACAATGAAAACATTTTTTAAAATCAGTGCATTTGTTCTTGGATTGAGGTAAAACAGACACTTTGCCAATGAAACAAGACAATTTACATTTAAAATAAGAAAAAACTATTGAATTATCTTATTTAAAGTCAATATTATCCAATTATCTTATTTTAAGAGTAAAAATACTAATTCCATTGGCAAACTATCTCATTTACCGACTCAAATTAAAGCTAAACACACTTAAACTAAGAAATGTTTATTTTTTCCAGTGTAAATCTGCCTGTAGGAATCAGACTTCACTAAAACCTCCTCAGATCTTGGTTTATTGGGAAATGTTTAATGTTTCGTTGCCGGTTGTGCAGAATGGGATGAAATGATGATGCTACTGCAGTTCCAGGTTTATTTCCTCTGCTATTTATGCTCCCAAACCTCCTGGTTTATAGATACTGAACCACACCTCAGGCTTAGTGCTGGAGTCAGGCCTCCTTAAACTGCAAAAATGATCTAGAATTAAGTAAAACTTTCATCAAGAGTATTTATCCTCTTAGTAAGTGTGAGGGATTTACCCCCTCCCTAAGAGGTGCTGTTTTTCATGTTCTTTGTATACTCTGGGTTATTTGGGTGAATGTATTGTTTTGGGAGGTGGTTTGATTTGTTTTAATCATCTTTCTCATCTCTTTGAGGTCACCTGGTCCTGTGTTGCCGTGGAAGCGCGCCCATGAGCAACGCTGACGAGGACCTGGTGTTTCCAATCAGCCTCATTGGGAAAATCCATTTTTGGAGAGGGAGAAATGCATTTCTATTTTGACTGGATTCCAGATTGTTTGTTTCTAGTTTTGTTTTGGTTGTGTTTAAGTTAATGGTAAATTTATAGACACTTTTTAGGTATAGTTTAGAGTATGTTTGTTTGTTTCTAGCTGAAAATGACTCCGCCCCTCTAATTAGTTCGGATGGGAGCCCAGCCTTTAAAAAACCAGGTGGTTGGGATGATAAGTGAGTCTCCCTCTGGCTTTGACAAACATGTGGTGCTGTAAAACTGAAATGTAATGTATGAAACTGAAAAGAAAAGATAAAAGCTACCGAGTGCTCGACAACTGCAGACTCCAGCCTCCTTCCTCCGTGGCCGCAAACTAACATTTGGTGTCAGAAGTGGGATGCGACGCTGATTTCAGATAGGTGTTGATTATGGGTCCAAAGCCGCAGACAAGAGGCCTCAAAGCTGCAGAATCGGATTCAGTGGAGGAAGCAGACCAGGATGGAGCTACAGGTCAGCAGACTTCGCAGTTCAGTGATGAAGCAGCATCTGTGGACATGAAAAATATTTCTGCCATGCTGGAAAAGTGTCTTCAGTTCCAGAGTGACTTTGTTGACAGATGGGACAAAGAAGAGTGTAAGCAAGAAAGGAGATGGCATCAGATACAGGCTGAAGTTAAAAATCTGAGAGATGACTTGAAGAAGAAGCATCAAACGGAAGCTTGTCTTCATTCAGGCCCCTCTTCGGAAGATGATTTAGAACCGGCTTCTCGGCATAAATCTAGAGGTGAGCCAAAACAAAGAGCCTGGACTCAATCTGATATTCCAAAGTTTGAGGAAGGAGAGGACATTGAACAGTACCTGACAACCTTTGAAAGGTTAGCAACAGCATACCAGTGGCCTGAGAGGGACTGGGCAGTAAGGTTGGTACCTCATCTCACCGGCAGAGCCCGAGCAGCGTATGTGGCCATGGCTGCAGAGGATTCATGTGACTATGGTGAAGTAAAGGCAGCCATCTTGACAAAGTATGAAATTAATGAAGAAGTGTACCGACAACGTTTTAGAGAGCCAGATGTCCGTGTGAATGAAACCCCCCGAGAGTTCTACAATCGTCTGAAAGATCTTTACCTGAAGTGGATACAGCCGCAGAACAGGAGAAAGGATGAGATTGGAGAGATCCTCATCCTGGAGCAGTTCTACAGTTCTCTGTCACTGGAGCTCAGAGTATGGGTCAAAGAGAGGAGCCCAGCATCAGCACAAGAAGCGGCAGAACTTGTTGAAAACTTCCTAGCTGCACGACGGGGACCAAAAACCTTCCGATACAACCCTCAACAGAAGTCCAGCTATATGCAGGGTAAGTCTGTGGGGTTTGGTTTGGGTGGTGGTCCAGGTCAGATGGCAGGGGTAGAGAAGCAAAGGGGGAAAACGTTTTCATCTAAGCCTAAATCGGAAATAAAACCTGTTGTCTGCTATTTCTGTGGTCAAGAGGGTCATATAAAACCAGAATGTCCATTGAGAAAAGCCAAATCAGCATATTTTTGCACTGTACCAAGGTCATTGTCTGCAGAAGACCAATTTCAGGGAAAAAAACAAGTTATGGAGGTTAGAGTAAATGGAAAGCCGGCCATTGCTCTATTAGATACAGGAAGTGCACAGACCTTAGTTCACCCTTCTATTTTGAAAGATCAATGCTATCTACAGGGTCCAGGTCTTGATATTTCCTGTGTGCATGGTGATCATAAAACTTACCCTACTGCTGCAATCTATCTAGAAGTGGCAAACCAAACTTATCTCTTAAGTGTAGGTGTAGTGGAAGGTCTTCCCCATAAGGTTATCTTGGGTCAGGATATTCCAGTCTTGCCAGATCTGATCCAGACCTGTAAGCCAGTGTATGTTGTAACCCGATCACAAGCACAAGCTAAACAATTAGCTGGGGGAGATGATTCAGAACCTCTACCAGAGACTGTGAAGTCAGGCCAGCAGATGAACACTGAGACTGCTGGTAAACTGAATTCCCTGCAAGAACTGCCCTTCTTTAATTTTGATATTCCTTCTGAGAGGGTGGTTAAAGTGAGGAAAAGCAAACAACAAAGGCGGCTTCAGAAAATGGCAGGCACAGTTAGACAAACATCTTTGGGATTGCCAGATCTTGATGGGGACATTGTGGGTTCACAAGTTGACTTCAAGAGATTACAACAGTCTGATGAATCGCTGAAGGGTCTTTTTGATCAAGCAACCCCCATTACTGCGGGAGAAATTGATAAACAGTCTGTGGGGGGGTATTATATCCTTAGAGACGGGTTGCTTTATCTTCAGGGTGGAAAAACAGGATGTGAAAAACTGGTGGTTCCACAGAGTCTAAGGGAACAGGTGTTAAATTTGGGTCATGGGGTACCCTGGGCTGGACATCTGGGTTTTAAAAAAACCTATGACAGGATTTATGCCAGGTTTTATTGGCCAGGTCTTTATAATCATGTAAAAGAGTACTGTCAATCATGTACAGTGTGTCAGCTATCAGGGGGAAAGAATGTCCCAAAGTACCCATTACAGACATTACCTATTATTGATGTTCCTTTCAGGAGAATAGGTATGGACGTTGTGGGACCACTGGAACGGACTCAAGCAGGAAATCGGTTCATTCTGGTGGTGTGCGATTATAGCACTCGCTATCCAGAGGCTTTCCCCCTTAGGGACATAACAGCTAAACAGATAGCCTATGCTTTACTCCAGTTGTTCTCTAGGGTGGGGATCCCATCAGAAGTACTTACTGATCAGGGTACTAACTTTTTGTCAAACAATCTTAAGCAGGTCTACAGATTGTTGGGCATAAAGGGTATTCGGACCACCCCCTACCACCCACAGACTGATGGGTTGGTAGAAAGGTACAACCGGACATTAAAGAGTATGTTGAAGAAGTTTATCTCTGTCAATGGTAAAGACTGGGATAGGTGGCTACCCTATCTTCTGTTTGCTTATCGGGAAGTTCCGCAAGCTTCCACTGGCTTTTCGCCATTTGAACTTTATGGCAGGCAGCTGAGGGGCCCTCTGGAGGTTCTTCAAGAGTCCTGGGTGGGCAAGAAGGATCAGTCAACCAATGTCATCAACTACGTTCTAAATATGAGACAGAAGATGGAGGAGACAACCAACCTCGTCAGAAAGCACCTGGAGAAGGTTCAACAGCAGCAACAGACCTGGTATGACAAAACGGCCAGATGCAGATCCTTCAAACCAGGTCAGAAGGTTCTTTTACTACTTCCAACATCTGACAATAAACTTTTAGCAAAATGGCAGGGGCCATATACTGTTGTGAAGAAGCTAAGTGCTACCACCTATGAGATTGAGATGCCTGAGAGAAGGAATTCAAAGCAAACCTTTCATATGAATCTGCTTAAGGAGTGGAAATCCCGGGCTCCGCCCCTTAGTCAGCAGTGTTTTGTGCGTGCAGTGCAAGAGGAAGATGATGATGAGGGTGAGCTGCCATCTGTAAAAGACTCTGTTATTTCACTTGATCTCTCTCATCTCTCTCTCACCCAGCAACAGGAGTTGGAGGCCATTATTCCTTCAGATCTTTTCAAAGAACATCCAGGTTCAACAAACTTGGTGGAACACGATATTCGTCTGAAATCCGGTGTTCCCATTCGACAACGAATGTATCGGATCCCAGAGAGGATGTCTCCTGTATTAAAGGAAGAAATTGAGGTCATGTTGAAGCTGGGCGTGATTGAACCATCCACCAGCGAATGGAGCAACCCGGTGGTTTTGGTGATCAAGAAAGATGGGAGTATCCGTTTTTGCATTGACTTTAGAAAGGTAAATGCTCAATCAGACTTTGATGCTTATCCATTACCCAGGCTGGATGACCTCATTGAATGTGTTGGCCAGGCTAAATATATAAGTACTTTAGATCTGTGCAAGGGATATTGGCAGGTCCCTCTAACGGATGCTGCTAAGCCTCTCACTGCCTTCAGGACCCCGCAGGGATTATGGCAGTTTACAAAGATGCCTTTTGGACTTCATGGAGCACCCGCCACTTTTCAAAGACTGATGAATAAGGTACTGTCAGGTATGGAATCATTTACTGCAGCTTACCTTGACGATATTGTCATTTACAGCAACTCGTGGCAAGAACACCTAATTCATCTGGGTCGGGTGCTACAGGCCATCAAGCAGGCTGGCCTGACTATTCATCCCAGGAAATGTGCATTGGCCAAGAAGGAACTCCAATATTTAGGTCACATCCTGGGTGGAGGAGTCATAAAGCCAGTGAAAGACAAGATGGAGGCAATCCAAGCGACAGAGAGACCAACAACCAGAAGACAAGTCAGGTCCTTTTTGGGCCTGGTCGGTTGGTATCGTCGATTTATCAGGGACTTTTCTGCTAGAGCAGCTCCTCTTTCTGACCTCACTGGGACATCAAAGACAAAAATTGTGTGGGGAGAAGCACAGGAGAGGGCCTTCCAGGATCTTAAGCAGGCACTGTGTCAAGAACCTGTACTCCAGAGCCCAAACTTCTCTTTACCCTTCACAGTACAGACTGATGCATCTGCCAGGGGAATTGGTGGGGTTCTTTTGCAGGGAGAAGGAGCGGAGAAGAAACCAGTCGCCTACATTAGTAGGAAGTTGTTTCCGCGAGAGACCAGATATTCAGCGGTGGAACTGGAGTGTCTGGCTATCAAATGGACGATCGACTCTCTCAGATATTACCTGCTGGGGCGAGAATTCACCCTTGAGACTGACCATCGTGCATTGAAATGGTTGGAGGCCATGAAAGACACAAACAGTCGCATCACACGATGGTTCCTGTCTCTTCAACCTTACCGGTTCAAGATAAGTTACATTCCAGGAAAAGAGAACAAAGTTGCAGACTTTTTGTCTCGCTGTGGACACGGCGAGTCTCCTGAAGGGAAGGGAAGTGTGAGGGATTTACCCCCTCCCTAAGAGGTGCTGTTTTTCATGTTCTTTGTATACTCTGGGTTATTTGGGTGAATGTATTGTTTTGGGAGGTGGTTTGATTTGTTTTAATCATCTTTCTCATCTCTTTGAGGTCACCTGGTCCTGTGTTGCCGTGGAAGCGCGCCCATGAGCAACGCTGACGAGGACCTGGTGTTTCCAATCAGCCTCATTGGGAAAATCCATTTTTGGAGAGGGAGAAATGCATTTCTATTTTGACTGGATTCCAGATTGTTTGTTTCTAGTTTTGTTTTGGTTGTGTTTAAGTTAATGGTAAATTTATAGACACTTTTTAGGTATAGTTTAGAGTATGTTTGTTTGTTTCTAGCTGAAAATGACTCCGCCCCTCTAATTAGTTCAGATGGGAGCCCAGCCTTTAAAAAACCAGGTGGTTGGGATGATAAGGGAGTCTCCCTCTGGCTTTGACAAACATGTGGTGCTGTAAAACTGAAATGTAATGTATGAAACTGAAAAGAAAAGATAAAAGCTACCGAGTGCTCGACAACTGCAGACTCCAGCCTCCTTCCTCCGTGGCCGCAAACTAACAGTAGGTAAATGGGATGATTTGCCAATGGAATTAGTATTTTTACTCCTAAAATAAGATAATTAAATAAAATGCATTTTTAATAAGACATGCAGATTTTCTTATTTTAAATTTAAATTGTTTCATTGGCAAATTGTCTCATTTTCCTCTTCAATTCAAGACAAAATGCACTTATTTTAAGAAAAAGAAAATGACTTATTTAGATTTGATCTTTTTGCAGACTAAGGCTAAATATTCACTAAAAGGAAAAACATTTTCTGATAGATTTAACCTTCCAAGTTTCTTTGGGAAGAAACTTTTTCTTCCGGCTGGAAAAACAGGATGGAAACTTCCTGGTAAAACTGTCTTTCCAGAGGAAGCGTCCTGCCCTGCCTTAAAGCCGGGTTGCTTTGAAGAGCTGCTCCTTGTTCTGCTTTCCTCACCTTATTGTCCAGACCGTCCAGAACCTCCACATACGGCTCGTTGATGCAGCGGTCGTAATCCAAACTCTGAAGAAGTCAAACACAGAGTCATATAATCACTGATTCATGCGTCCTTGAAGCCAGAATATTTTCATCTATGTCTTTTCATCTACCAAACTGGCATAAGCCGCTTCCCAACTGGCATAAGACGGTTCCAAACTGGCATAAGCCGGTTCCCAACTGGCATAAGCCGGTTCCCAACTGGCATAAGCCGGTTCCAAACTGGCATAAGCCGGTTCCAAACTGGCATAAGCCGGTTCCAAACTGGCATAAGCCGGTTCCAAACTGGCATAAGCCGCTTCCCAACTGGCATAAGCCGCTTCCCAACTGGCATAAGCCGGTTCCAAACTGGCATAAGCCGGTTCCCAACTGGCATAAGCCGGTTCCAAACTGGCATAAGCCGGTTCCAAACTGGCATAAGCCGGTTCCAAACTGGCATAAGCCGGTTCCAAACTGGCATAAGCCGGTTCCAAACTGGCATAAGCCGGTTCCAAACTGGCATAAGCAGGTTCCAAACTGGCATAAGCCGGTTCCCAACTGGCATAAGGCGGTTCCAAACTTGCATAAGCAGGTTCCAAACTGGCATAAGAAGTTTCCCAACTGGCATAAGCCGGTTCCCAACTGGCATAAGCCGGTTCCCAACTGGCATAAGCCGGTTCCAAACTGGCATAAGCCGGTTCCAAACTGGCATAAGCCGGTTCCCAACTGGCATAAGCCGGTTCCCAACTTGCATAAGCAGGTTCCAAACTGGCATAAGAAGTTTCCCAACTGGCATAAGCCGGTTCCCAACTGGCATAAGCCGGTTCCCAACTGGCATAAGCCGGTTCCCAACTGGCATAAGCCGGTTCCAAACTGGCATAAGCAGGTTCCAAACTGGCATAAGCCGGTTCCAAACTGGCATAAGCCGGTTCCCAACTGGCATAAGCCGGTTCCCAACTGGCATAAGCCGGTTCCCAACTGGCATAAGCCGGTTCCCAACTGGCATAAGCAGGTTCCAAACTGGCATAAGCAGGTTCCAAACTGGCATAAGCCGGTTCCAAACCGGCATAAGCCGGTTCCAAACCGGCATAAGCCGGTTCTAAACTGGCATAAGCCGGTTCCCAACTGGCATAAGCCGGTTCCAAACTGGCATAAGCCGGTTCCCAACTGGCATAAGCCGGTTCCAAACTGGCATAAGCAGGTTCCAAACTGGCATAAGCCGGTTCCAAACTGGCATAAGCCGGTTCCAAACTGACATAAGCCGGTTCCAAACTGGCATAAGCCGGTTCCCAAATGACATAAGCAGGTTCCAAACTGGCATAAGCAGGTTCCAAACTGGCATAAGCAGGTTCCAAACTGGCATAAGCCGGTTAGAACAGTAAATATAACAATATATTAATTGGGCGGATTGTTGTGTGATTTTTAACTGAGGTTTGGGCTGGAAAACCTGGACTCTATCTGACAACACTGATCCTGGGACATGTTGAGTGTGGAGAAGAGTTGATCCATAACAGGATTAAATAGATCTATAGAACTGGTTTCTGACCTTTCAGACTTTCTCACCTCATAGTCCTTCCTGGGCAGAATCTCATCTTCATCATCTCGGATTTCCCCGAGAATAGTCTGGAAAATAAAGAAAATAAAGAAAGCTGAGCACGATCTGATCAGAACCAGAACCCTGACTGGTACCGGTTCTCTGGACCTTCTGCTCCCGCCAGCAGAGACCCTGACATGGGGCCAAAGCAGCACCGCTGATAGGAGCGGAATGGAGCCACCCAGCTGCCCGACTGGAAACCCTCCCATCAGGGAAGAGGAACCGGAGGAGCTCCGGACCCGCGTTCAGCCCCCAGAGCCCCGCTGTCCTCACCAGCTCCTCCGGCGTCCGCGGCTCCTCTTCTCGGCAGCAACACTGGCAACAAAAACAGTTTCTGCAGGACGCCATCTTCCCTCCGCTGTCATGCTGCCTTCAGGGACTGTGGGGAAAAAAATAATGAAAACCGTCAAAGGCAAGAAAACAATCAACCGAAAGGAGCAAAGAAATATGAACTTTAAATATGAAATATATACAAATATTTATTAATTAGTTAGTAAGTTATTTCAAATAGGTTAGTAAATATAGCCATGTAGCATAGATTTCCAGAGAAACTCGAATGCAACAAATCTGCTCTCACGTGACACCAGCTTTTTGCTTGCAAAGCTTTATTAAACAATTGATCATCAACAAATATACAGCGATGGATATGATTTTATATATATATAAATATATATATATATATATATATATATATATATATATATATATATATATATATATATATATATATATATATATATATATATATATATATATATATATGTGTGTGTGTGTGTGTGTGTGTGTGTGGGTGTGTGTGTTTACATACATACAGGAGTCATGGATCTCTGCTTACAACTCCTTCATATTTTTATGTAAACTAATAACTTGTATACATGGTTCTTGTTGATGGCATTAAAATAATTTATAATAGCATTAAATAGGATTAAATTAGAGTCAGTCGTTCCTGTATGAACCCTGAACGGTTAATTTAATACGGCATATTAAAAAAATCCCACCATCATCCAGCAGATGTTCAGTTTCTGCCCAAATATTTTTTTGTTGTAGATTTTTTTAAGGGGGATAACTAGGATAATTGAAAACTGCCTTTTTGAATTAACTTTGTTCTCTACTCCCAAACTCAGCATCTCTTCATCCATTCCTGTAATAAGAAGTTTCTTTTGACTAGATTTGATTAAACTTTTAGTCCCTCGGTATAAAATAAATATTTTGATGGAGATGAGAAATCTGCTTCCTGGTTGGTGAATAACCCATAGTTTGCATCCAATCATTTAAATAAACAGTATTGTTGTTTTATGCTATAATTTCTAGTTACCGATCTGTTGCTACTATATTTTAATTTGACGAACCGGAATTTCTCGCTGTTCTTTTTCCTGCTTGTTGTGATTGCAATTGCTGATCTTGACCTGGCCAGAGCAAAAAATAGCTCAGCTCCGTATTTTGTCTGTGTAGGATGAAGAAGAATGAAAAAGGATGTACGTGGACGGAGGCGTGCGGAGAAGTAGCGGTGGATGTGGAACAGCTCTCATTGACTTACATGAAAGACAAGCGCTCCGCACGACGTACGTCAGCAGGGCGGAGCGCTGACGGAGTACGTGGAATCTGGGGGTCAGCCTTCAACTTGGATGTTAGATCCAGTTCCAACCAGGTTTGTTAAGGAGGTATTCCCTTTGATCTCCTCCTTCATTTTAGATGTGATTAATCTATCTCTGTTACAGGGATATGTACCTACCAAAGGCTTTTAAGGAAAAGTCAGCTGAGAAGAAGTGGTTTAATGAGCTCCTCAGGAAGAACAAGCTCTGTCCCATATGGACACAGTGCAGGTGGTGGGAGACAGCGGGAGCAGAGGGAAAATAATCTGCTGCACCGCTGCATCTTTGCTATACAAAGAAGCACCTTCCAGATCCTTCCTCCCAGCTGCCGTTCAGCTTTATAATCTCTGCTGCTCCCAGAAAGCTCAAGAAAGTCAGACAACTGCTGGTTCTTGATCTGGTCTAGAATCATTGAGTCCCTCTGAGAAGCTCGGTGTAGCTCAGAGCTCACAGATTAGGGACCGCAGTCCGGGTCCGGACCCCCCTGCTTGCTAATCCGGACCCAACCTGATTTAAAACATTTATAAATTACTGCATGTTGTCTGACAACAGTGTCTAATTTCACTTGCTCCTCTTCTCCTGTTAATACGGTAAAGCCCTGGGGAGCGTCCGGCTCCAGGCTGCACGTGATCCAAATGAGCCAATGAGCTGTCAGTCTGGGTTGCTGCTGCTGCTACTTTTAGACACAGCAGGCAAACCTGTGGCAAGCCGGGCGATGGGAAAGAAGGAGAAGACCATGAGAAAAAGAGAGCAGAGAAAGTGTGGACTGCTGGAAGAACTGCGGTGAACTGGTGAAAGGAAAGTGAAATGGCGTGCTCAAAGATGACCCTGCACATTTAGAGGATGTTTGGCTCAACCTGCTGCTGGGAAGCAGGATTCTCCACCATGAACAGAATCAACAATAAATCTGGATCCAGGCTCAAAATGAGCTCCTTGATATGTGCTTGAGAATGGCTTAGTCTCCGGTTAAACCCAGGTTTAAAGCCTTGCAGGGCAGCCTAAAGCCCACTGCCAACATTAAGACAGAAAAAAGAAAGAAAATAACAAACCATCAGTTCAGGGGTTTGAGAAAATATGGGAATCAGGAAATTATCTATATGCCATATTGGACCTTATGCCATGATCCTTGTCCATATTTCATCTAGATATGATGACCAGAGAAGAGAATGCAGCTTTGGTGACCAACAGCTGGGGGGCTTTATTTCACTGAGGGTTTAAACACTGATATAACATTAGTGTTCATGTGTTCCTCAGATGCTCGTTACATTTCCATTACCAAGTCTGACCAAGAGTCATTTAGTGGAATCCTGATGTCTATTCGCTGCTAGCTGTTTCAAGGAGGTTAAATAATCATTTAACTAAAGGTTTTTGGTTCTTGATTAAGCAAATCATTCAATAAAACATTATTTGGCCAAATAATGTTTTATTCACCTCGTGGATTTGCATTGTGAATTGGTATGAAAACATTATCTAAATCATTGAAAAGCTAATTTGATCATATCCCAAATTCTTCCAGATAAACTTTAGTTTTCAAACACAAAATCCATCTTAAACTGTAATCTGGTTTTCAACCTTGTGTTTCAGCTCCTCTTTGTACATATTAGTTTAGTTTAGTTGAGTTTCACTAGTTTTAGTTAAGAGTGTTAAACTGAAATATGTTTGACTTGGAGCTGAATGATTTTTGTTTATAAACTGTTATATTTTGAACTGAAGTTGTGCTGAATTTATTGCATATATGTGAAGAATTGGTAAATGGTAAATGTCCTGTACTTATATAGCTCCTTTATTCAAGTTAGGAGACTTGACCAAAGCGCTTTACACTACATTCATTCACCCATTCACACACACACTGATGGTGGCAAGCTACACTGTAGCCACAGCTGCCCTGGGGCTCACTGACAGAAGCGGGGCTGCCGTACACTGGCGCCACCCTCTGACCACCATCAGTAGACAATGCAGGTGAAGTGTCTTGAATTAACTGTATGACCATGATTAGTGCTCAAATCACCCTGTTGTTCATAAACAGTATATAACAGCCGAAATAATATCTGGTCAAATAAGATATTTATGCATGCATCCTATGCCTCCATGCATCCTTTGCCTCCATGCAGCCTGTGCATCCATGCAGCCTGTGCATCCATGCAACATGTGCATCCATGCTACCTGTGCATCCATGCTACCTGTGCATCCATGCATCCATGCAACATGTGCATCCCTGCAGCCTGTGCATCCCTGCAGCCTGTGCATCCCTGCAGCCTGTGCATCCCTGCAGCCTGTGCATCCCTGCAGCCTGTGCATCCCTGCATCCATGCAGCCTGTGCATCCCTGTAGCCTGTGCATCCCTGCAGCCTGTGCATCCATGCAGCCTGTTCACCCATGCAGCATATGCATCCATGCATCCTATACCTCCATGCAGCCTGTGCATCCATGCTACCTGTGCATCCCTGCATCCATGCAGCCTGTGCATCCATGCAGCCTATGAATCCATGCATCCCTGCATCCATGCAGCCTATGCATCCATGCAGCCTGTGAATCCATGCAGCCTGTGCATCCATGCAGCCTATGCATCCATGCAGCCTATGCATCCATGCAGCCTATGCATCCATGCAGCCTGTGAATCCATGCAGCCTGTGAATCCATGCAGCCTGTGAATCCATGCAGCCTGTGCATCCATGCAGCCTGTGCATCCATGCAGCCTATGCATCCATGCAGCCTGTGAATCCATGCAGCCTGTGCATCCATGCAGCCTATGCATCCATGCAGCCTATGCATCCATGCAGCCTATGAATCCATGCAGCCTATGCATCCATGCAGCCTATGAATCCATGCAGCCTGTGAATCCATGCAGCCTGTGCATCCATGCAGCCTATGCATCCATGCAGCCTATGCATCCATGCAGCCTGTGAATCCATGCAGCCTGTGCTTTCATGCAGCCTATGCATCCATGCAGCCTGTGAATCCATGCAGCCCGTGCATCCCTGCATCCATGCAGCCCGTGCATCCATGCAGCCTATGAATCCATGCAGCTTGTGTATCCATGCAGCCCTTGCATACATGCAGCTTGTGCATCCATGCAGCCTATGCCTCCATGTAGCCTATGCCTCCATGTAGCCTGTGCCTCCCTGCATCCATGCAGCCTATGAATCCATGCAGCCTATGCCTCCATGCAGCCTGTGCATCCCTGCATCCATGCAGCCTATGAATCCATGCAGCCTGTGCTTCCATGCAGCCTATGCCTCCATGCAGCCTGTGCATCCCTGCATCCATGCAGCCTATGCCTCCATGCAGCCTGTGCATCCCTGCATCCTTGCAGCCTATGCCTCCATATAGCCTGTGCCTCCCTGCATCAATGCAGCCTGCGCATCCATGTAGCCTATGCCTCCATGCAGCCTGTGCATCCCTGCATCCTTGCAGCCTATGCCTCCATGCAGCCTGTGCATCCCTGCATCCTTGCAGCCTATGCCTCCATGCAGCCTGTGCATCCCTGCATCCTTGCAGCCTATGCCTCCATATAGCCTGTGCCTCCCTGCATCCATGCAGCCTGCGCATCCATGTAGCCTATGCCTCCATGCAGCCTGTGCATCCCTGCATCCTTGCAGCCTATGCCTCCATGCAGCCTGTGCATCCCTGCATCCTTGCAGCCTATGCCTCCATATAGCCTGTGCCTCCCTGCATCCATGCAGCCTGCGCATCCATGTAGCCTTTGCCTCCATGCAGCCTGTGCATCCCTGCATCCTTGCAGCCTATGCCTCCATATAGCCTGTGCCTCCCTGCATCCATGCAGCCTGCGCATCCATGTAGCCTTTGCCTCCATGCAGCCTGTACATCCCTGCATCCTTGCAGCCTATGCCTCCATGCAGCCTGTACATCCCTGCATCCTTGCAGCCTATGCCTCCATATAGCCTGTGCCTCCCTGCATCCATGCAGCCTGCGCATCCATGTAGCCTATGCCTCCATGCAGCCTGTGCATCCCTGCATCCTTGCAGCCTATGCCTCCATGTAGCCTATGCCTCCATGCAGCCTGTGCATCCCTGCATCCATGTAGCCTATGCCTCCATGCAGCCTGTGCATCCCTGCATCCATGTAGCCTATGCCTCCATGCAGCCTGTGCATCCCTGCATCCATGTAGCCTATGCCTCCATGCAGCCTGTGCATCCCTGCATCCATGTAGCCTATGCCTCCATGCAGCCTGTGCATCCCTGCATCCATGTAACCTATGCCTCCATGCAGCCTGTGCATCCCTGCATCCATGTAGCCTATGCCTCCATGCAGCCTGTGCATCCCTGCATCCATGTAGCCTATGCCTCCATGCAGCCTGCGCATCCATGCAGCCCTTGCCTCCATGCAGCTTGTGCATCCATGCAGCCTATGCCTCCATGCAGCCTGTGCTTCCATGCAGCCTATGCCTCCATGCAGCCTGTGCATCCCTGCATCCTTGCAGCCTGCGCATCCATGCAGCCTATGCCTCCATGTAGCCTGTGCCTCACTGCATCCATGCAGCCTGCGCATCCATGCAGCCTATGCCTCCATGTAGCCTATGCATCAATGTAGCGTAGCTTGGGGTTCAGCTGAAGCATTTAGGAAGTCCAGGTGGCCTACAGCCTTCATTTCTGAGTCTGATCTCCTCCATTTAGTAGTTGGTCTCACACTAACTGTACGTTCGTAGTATATCTTAACATTCACACAACAGATTACAGAAAAAAAAACCTCTGCTCCCCTTTAATCTGACTGAAAAGATGTTATTTATCTTTTCCAATCCAGGAGTTTATAGACAGGAAGGGGCAGCATGAGGGAAAAAATCTGACTTTCTGGTTGGATTCATCAACTTAATACAAATATGATGATAAACAAAGTTCTAAGCGGTTAAGAATAAAATATTAAAGACAGTCAACACTAGACCTGAACCAGCAGAGGAGCAGAAAATCATGCTCTGTTTCTAGAACAGAATTCATATAAAAACATCTTGTCTTGTTTATATTTTCATTAGTTTTATAAATACATTTTCATTGTTGTTTTATAATTAAATACATGTGTAGATATGTTTAAATATTAATTGTTCTTTTTGGAGAGTCCAACTGCATTCACTGATGTATTTGTCATTTTTATATGTAAATCAGGAAGAAGAAAAAAAAGTTCCTGCTGAGGCCTTCAGACGGATCAACCCTGAAGTCGTCCAGCATTAATGGACAACAGCTCCCAGCTGATTACAGTCCCAACTAAAGTAGGGGGTTTACTGGGAGAACTGGTTTGGTCTAGAATTATAAAAAAAAAAATGAACTGAGTGAAATTATATTTTCAACAGAGTGATGTGAGGCTGAGGTCGATGCTGAAGCAGGTTTATTTCTGCAGCTGAATCACAGTAAAAAAAGAAATGAATCATATTAAATCCAAACTGCATGGAATCATTAATCTATGGTCAAATAAATGAGCACCGAAACACTGAAACTGTTCTGATGGAAAAAGTTTGTCTTGAATCTCTTCTTGACTTGGAGCGTCTCATCCATATGAAGGATCTGCAAAAATAATTAGAACACAAACGTTTCAGTCATCAGAAAAAAGTGAAGTTGTAAAAATGTGATAAAACTGCAAATAAGTCATTCAGATATTCCAAACAAACATTTTTCCCTGAATACAGGCCCGACCTCCGGCTTTGTTTTAACTGCTGCTTACTGCTGACAAATGAGGAAGAACGTGAATATATATATGTATACTAGTGTTGCGCCGATGCCATTTTTTGGCCCCGATACCGATACCCGATACCTGGCTGTGCAGTATCGGCCGATACGATACCATAATAATGTAAAATAGTTGCCATCATGGCTTTGTCAAGCTGCTGCCTACCTTTGTGAAGCAGGAAAAAATCTAATACAAAGTGAATCCAGTAGAACTTTTTATCTAAAAGTTCTACTGTATAACAAAAATAAAAGTTTTTATTGCCTACCAGGAGTGGGTGACAATGGTTGAATAAACTTATGGCGCTCAAAATGGTATCGGTGCCCTATTTGTTGTAACTCGCCGATACCGATACCACCATTTTAGGGCAATATCGGGGCCCCGTCCGATACTGGTATCGGTATCGGTGCAACACTAATGTACACATGAATATACATTTATATTTGAAAAAGACCCCCCCCCCCCCCCCCCCCCCCCCCCCCCAGTCAGGGGCCCTTAGAATGGTCCTAACTTTTTCCGCCTGGAGAGCGCTCTGCAGGGATGGGAACTTTCTTCCATTTTTTCCCCCAAATCCTCAAGATGGAAAAACGCCAAAAATCGTATTTCTTTATCGTGTTTCTATAATTTCATCAATGCAACCAAATTCAATACATTGATATTTTAATGAAATTAAAACTTAAAGCACCAAATATTGTCACATGATGTGAGATTTGTTCCAGGATAAACATTTAATCCTGAATGTTTATAATATATCTAAGCCCACATAGTCGTTTTCTATAGTAGAATAACACACTTAGAGCCAGACGATGCTGATAGGAGACTTTTACATCTTTGTGGCTCCAGACAGATTTAGTTTTTTGTTTTTTTTTGGTCCAATATGGGTCTTTGAGCAGTTGGGCTGCCGACTCCTGTAGTAGTGAAATCATTCTCCATCATTAAACAGACTCTTTGAAATGCGGTAATATTGAAAGGTCCTATTTACACACACAGCTATAGGATACCTCCAGGTATTTGTAGGTTCCATAACAAGGATCTTTAAAAACAGAGTTTGATGCTTTGATGGAGCAGCTGTGTTTGCCGTCACACCTGTGGATTAGAGTAATACCTGATTAATACCAATGAGAACAGCTGGAGACTGAGCAGCATCAGAGATCCGTTACACCGTCGGTACCTGGCAGAGACCTCGGATGAGGGCCTCAAACAGTCGGTTTTCTGCAGCTGAGAGGAAGGACGCTGAAAGGAGCATGTGGTCGGGTCGCTGCGTCCATAAAAAGCCCCAATCACAGAGATGACCTGTCCAAAATCTGACAGCAGCAAATGTTTAGCTGGCAGATTACAGATTACAGATTACAGATTACAGGGCATTTAATGGACTGAGGTCTCACCGCACTGAAGGTCTGCCACCGAGTCTTCACAGGTCACGGTGTGGACTGATGAAGAGACAGAAATCCCATTATTATTATTATTATTATTATTATTATTATTATTATTATTATTATTATTATTATTATTATTATTATTATTATTATTATTATTATTATTATTATTATATAGGTTCCTTAACAAAACCACTGGGACTAACGCTACTTACCTGCAGGGTTGCAAACATAGTGGGTGTCCACATATTTGTAGATACCAACACACGGATCAGAAGTACGAAAGAAGGCGGCATTCACTTCACAAACCTTCCTCCCTTCACATCTAGAAAAGAGGAGAGCTTAAGGAGAGATGGCTTCCCGACACATTCACCGACCGGAACATTAACCTCAGCGATTCACCAAACATCTGCTGGTTTCCTGTCCAACATCAGGGTTCGACCTCACAGTCGCACTAATTCACCAACTAATGGTCTAAAGCTGGGGGGTGGAGGCCGAGCGGTTTGGGTGTTAGGGAACCCAGAGGTTCTGACTTCCACTCCCACTGACTGACACTTTAACCCCACCCTGCTCCCCGAGCACCGCACAATGGCAGCCCACTGCTCCCCAAGGGGAGGGGTACATTTCCCCAATATAAGATCAATAAAGTTCAATGATGATTTTTATTAAGTTCCCGTTTCTAAAGCCTGTTGACATCCTTCCCAGAAGAGTCCCGCTGCAAAGGAAGGACCAGCGTCCTGTTGGACCTCTATGGATTAGGATCGGGACGCCACAGAGGATTATAAGGCAGGGGACTGAATACTTTTGGAAAATAGTGTGTTTTCTTGAATCTTCCTGTTGAATACATGAATCCGTCACAGTAAGGATGCATGAGATGAAAACCCTGCAATGTTTAGGAACATCAAGCCCTACTAGGCCTAAACTTAATGAGATATATAATAATAGAGAAGTTAAGGAAAGTATGGACCTGTTAGCAGGCGGTTAGCTTAGCTGGGTGATGTTCTATTAATAAAGTTCTAAAGGATACTTAAGATTTAAAAAATGCCTGTTTCTCTGTGTTTTAAAGTCTTTTACCTTTTCCTGTTTCAACGCTTTATTATCACAGAGTCTTAGACGACATGTTGATGTTATTTAAAACATAAAATTAGGACATAAAGGTTGCTAAAACGGATCAAACAGAGCAGATCAGCTGACTGGTAACGAAACACATCAGGATTTTAATGACTCTAAACCGGATCTAAGATCTGCATGGAATCAGCTGAGGGTTTCTACCTTTGCAGGAGTTTGTCCAGAGAGCTGCTGTCTGGGTTTGTTTTCACCGCAGGTCGTAGTGTCAGCGCGTCCGTACAGAACCGACAGCAGATGGATCACTCCGCTTTCTGGAGGAGAAGGACAAACCATTCAGGGAGGAGAGATGAACATTTGAACGTTATTCAGTCAAACCTCGTTTCCGTGCCAACAGACATAAAGTGTTCCTTTGTTACAATGGATGGATCGATGGATGGATTGATTGATTGATTGATTGACTTTCTTAGAAGAAAAAGGTGCATGATGGGATATATACAGCACATACAGTGCGTCCACACAGGACAGCTTTTTATTTTTAATAGTAGGATTATTATACAGGATTATTGCAGTACGACGGAGTATTAGGGCCAGACTACAGATTAGTTTTCTTCTATAACGAGGATAAAGGTGTAATATAACCAGAATAAAGTCGTAAAATTATGAGAATAAAGTCGTAAAATTACGAGAATAAAGTCGTAAAATTACGAGAATAGTCATAAAATTATGAGAATAAGTTTATGTAATTTTATGACTTTATTCTCCAAATAAAAGAAGAATAAAATAATCCCTAGCCGTGCCCTAATACTCCATCATAATTACACAGGGTGTTTCCGTGGGTATTTATATATATATATATATATATATATATATAGTCATTTCAATAAAACATGTTTTTAAGGGATTTTTATTTGTAGATTTCAGGGGTTTTCAGTCCAGGTCCTCAGTCGTGGGTGAGCGGTTAGGGTGTCAGACTTGGATCCCAAAGGTTACCGGTCGACTCCCGACCCGCCAGGTTGGTGGGGGGAGTAATTAACCAGCGCTCTCCCCCATCCTCCTCCATGACTGAGGTACCCTGAGCATGGTACCGTCCCGCCACACTGCTCCCTTGGGGCGCCATTGAGGGCTGCCCCCTTGCACGGGTGAAGCATAAATGCAATTTCATAGTGTGCAGTGTTCACTTGGGTGTGCTGTGTCACAATGGGAGTTGGAGGAGTTTTCCCAAAGGGCTTTCACAGGACCGACTTTCCTGCCTGTTTACACTAAACCATTCAATCAAACCGTCAGCATCTCAGCCACTTCCATAACAAGCAGGATGGTGACTGTCTATGACTGACCTGCTTAAATTAAAGGTAAATAAACTGAATCTATGACATTTTTACTTATTTCTAGATTTTTAACTCAACAGCTAAGATCCTGCAGGGAACATGAACCTGCAGTCTCTGCAGTCGTTGCTGCTGCTTATGGAACTCCACCAGGTACGGTCCTCGTCACTGAGGGAGACGTTCATGCTTTCACCTTTTCTTTAGCATTCTTTATGAATGATGTCATTCTATCATCATCTTCCAGCCTTTAGATCATTCATGGGTTCAATGATCCCTCCAACCTTAGCAGCGCTGGTGCTGCAGGTTTGTGAGAGCAGATCTATAGGCAGAGCTGCAGCTCTAGCTTTCCTAGAGCATCGCTGCTGTGATGATGGGAGGTTATTTCAGGGTTAATTCCCCCACAGTCTGCAAACAGTGACTGCTGATACTTCACTTTCATCCCATTTTAATGTTTATCTAACATCTACCATTATTTTCCCTGTAATGATGAATAGAAACAGCTTTAAATTATGATATGTTTATGGTTTACCGCAGCTCAGGCGATGAACATTGCTGCTGTCATCACAGGTGATCACTCTCTTTATGGAGGATCTAGGAGGAGCAGCTCTGCGCCCGTCTGTCAATAACCCATAAAAAAGAAGAGAAATATGTTATATATGAACAGGGCCGTATTTAGGAAATGTTGGGTCCTAGGCAAAGACAGGCAGGGGGCCCTCTGAATGGAGAAGACAACACATCAAACAGACCCATTCTACAGATGTAGAAACGTTAATAGAATAGACATCCATTATCTGTTCTAGGTTGTGTCCCTCTCTTCTTGTCCCTTTTCTTCTTGTTTTCCTCTCTATGTTTTGTACTCAGCTGACTTTTCATGCTGTCTCTAAAGGAATGAAAGATTTTTTCCAAGCACTAAGCTCACTTAGCTGATTGCTCCTTCCTGTGTTTCCAAAAAGGCCAAAGTAAATAACCCAGTCCTTCTTTTCACTGTAGACAAGCCATGATCTGCTTATCTGTTCTCCATTTTTCATTTGGATGAAATAATAGCTGCATGAATCATGACAGCAGACAAGATAGAGGAGAGCAGGAGGCGGGGTTACCAATCTACTCGCTCTGGAGAGCAGAGTTCGCTGCTTTTAGATGTTGTCTCCAAAGTCTCCAGTAGCAGAAAAAAGTCTCTAGATTTGGCGCTAGGAGCTTTTTAGAAATCAAAGTTCTAGAGGGGTCTGAAAAGTGGCTAAATATAGCGACTAAAGCGCTAAGTTGGCAACACTGCTCTGCATGGTTTGTTTTCAAATGGTTTGCTGCTGTCTGTTTGGACCTTTCTGAACATGTGCAGCAAATGGACTGATCCAATATGGTGGACACTGAAGGGGGGGGGGCTGAGACACACTTAATATTATCAGCGTTCTGATGGCATTTTAGCCAAAAGGATTTTGATCAAAAACATAATTAATGAGCAGAAATAAGGAATAGTTGTATTAACCATACATGGAAACAGAGTTTTATGGGGCCCCCAGGAACTTGGCTAATGGTAATTTACTCACATTTACACTCAGCAGTCAGCTTTACTAACCACGTTTCAAAGCAGCTGCGATTTAATGAATAATAAGACAAACTGACCTGATTCTGCCTGAACCTGAAAGAAAGACAGAGAATTTATTAACAGTTAAAGTTTCTCATTCAGGTAAAACAGACAGAAAACAAAAAGACTGGATAAACTTAAAGAAACGATTTACTAAATGTTTTGACTTTGGTCACATCTTCTCCATTTAAACCAAGGTTTTTTTATTATTATTATTATTATTATTATTATTATTATTATTATTATTATTATTATTATTAACATTTTTGGGATCAGGTGATAAACTTACCTGGGTGTAGAGTCCAGAGCTCAGACAGAACAGCAAAGTCAAGCAAATACGGAGATCCATCTGAGGAGAGAAGAACCAATGTTTACATTCTGTAGCATCAAATCAATCGAATTAGTTATGTGGCGTTTCCTATGAGCTCTAATCTAAACATTTCTGTTACATCTGGGAGAAAGTGGTAAGAGAAGAACAACAAGAACCCAATAACCTTTCCACAGTGTCCAGTTTTCCAACTGGAAAAGATCTATTCATTGAATAAAAGATGCAGTCTGATGAGGAAAGCTCCGTGTTTCCATCTACCTACCTTTCCTGAGTAGAGATCAATCAGAACGAACTGTCACAGTTAGAGAAGCATTTATACATCATCATCATCATCATCATCATCATCATCAAACATGTCTGCAGATGCAGAGACACCCACGGCTCCAGCTTTATCACCATATTACACTTTGTTCTTGGCTGAAGGACGCAGCTCTCGTTCCATTCCCAAATCTCTGTTATGTATGAAGATGAAACAGTGACTGAATATCCTTACAGAGGAACTGTTCTAATTGGATAAACTCCTGGGGAAACATTACTTCTGATATTTATTAGGGATTAACAAACTCAAACATCATTAATAACAATAATCCCAAAAGTTACCCCTGAAAAGGTGACATGTTTACAGTCACTTTTAAACAAACACTTCCATGTCTGTTCATGACCAGGAAATCCAAGCAGCTGCTCTGTTAGCTGCTGGAAAAATGGGAAAATATAATCATCTTCTCCATTCTGTCCTGGAGAAATATTAAGACTCAAGGATTAAATGCAGCCTGAAAAAGCACAGAATTAAACTGAACAACCATAAGATTCCCCTGGAATGGGCCTTAAATTATTTTAACTGTTTTCCTAAAAAGTTCAAAACAATCCTCTGGACTTTGTTTCCACGCTTGAAGACGTTTCTCTTCCATCCAGGAAGATTTTTCCATTTAGAAATAGCGTTTAGTTCCAGGTTTTATCCAGCAGCCCAACAAAGCCTGGTTTTAGTTTAGAAACGGATTAATGCCCCCCCAACCCCCCCCCCCCCCCCCCCCCCCCGTTGGTTAAGCTGGTTCTTCTTTCTTAGCAAAGATGGTTTGACTCCAGAGGAGGATCTTTAACGTTTCTGGAAGGACTATGACCTGAATGACTGAGAATCGTCACCAGCGTATTTTATCTCTATACTGTCACACTTATTATCACTATAACCAAGCAGGGAAAAACTAAACGACCTCTCAGGGATTAAACAGTTCATCAGTTAGTTAACAGTGAATCACGGCATTCAGCAAAATCACTAGAATTTAAAGTCATTGAAAGAACATTAGAGGATTAGATAAATAATGAAAGATAAATTACTAATCAGTTTGTAGTCAGAGTCTAAGTGGCATCATATACCCAGATAAAGATATAGATTGATTAAACTGGAGGCTCAGGTCAAATCTGAGCTGTTTTCTAATTCTCCTGCTTTGTTTTAAAATGATCTGGTTAATCTGCTGAGCTGCTCTCACATGCGTCAGACATGAGATCGCTCTGTTCTGTTCCAGCTCCATGTGTGATTCATCCTGACCTTAATCACACTCTAATGTGATCAGAATGAAAAACTGAAACTAGTTTTAAATTAAGATCATATAATTTCCCCATCTGGGATTTTATTTCCCCCAAAAGTAGAAGCCCCCACCCTTCTACTATCTGGTCTGTTCTAATGTTCCTTCACTCCAATAATCCTCATTATTAAAAGGTCATTAATTAGCCACTGAATCACCATTCAAGCTGTGCACCCTGATCACTATAGAGTTATTACGCCATTTTAAATGTTGGTTCCAGAAAGGAACGTGTGGCTGCTGGTTTTCTTCCACCCAAGCAGTAAAACCAGACTCCATTCATCCCATCAAGTCATCAGGTTAAGACTAGACTCACCTTGAACCCCCAGGTTCACCACCGATCACATGGTGAAGTTTGCAGACGACACCACGGCGGTGGGCCTCATCAGAGACGACAACGACCTGGACTACAGAGAGGAGGTGGAGCAGCTGGTGGAGCAGAGATAACAGCCTGATCCTGAAGGTGGAGAAGACCAAGGAGATCATGGTGGACTTCAGGAAGAACCGTCCTAACCACGCTCCACTGCTCATCAACAGCTCAGCTGTAGAGGTGGTCATTCATCACAGACACCCTCACCTGGACTGGAAACACCACCTCACTGGTCCAAAGGGCCCAGAAGCTTGGACTTCCTGCCCCCCCCATCCTCCCCACCTTCTCCAGAAGCACCATAGAGAGCGTTCTGAGCAGCTGTCTCACTGTGTGGTGTGGAGGCTGCAGAGCCTCAGACTGGAAGAAGGTGAGAACAGCAGAGAGGATCATGGGGGCTCCTCTTCCCTCCATTAAAGACATTTCATCCCAGCGCTGCGTGTCCCGTGACATCATCAATGACCCCTCACCCCCCCACCATGGACTGTTCTCCCTGCTGCCCTCTGGGAAGAGGCTTTAGAAATTAAAGTGTCTTGAAAGCTGTACTGAACAATATTTCCATTTGTTTACATTCTGTGTATATAAAAGTCTGTCTAAGTCTAATTCTAAGTTTTAAACATCTATCTGCTTAGTTCAGGTTCTGTTTCAAAGGAAATCAGTCATTTTTCTCCTTTCTAAAGCTAACTGCATTTACCTTCAGGCAAGCAGGGGTTAACTGATGCCATATATTAGGCTGCAGCTGGAGGAAAGGGGGGGAGGGGTGTCATGTTTAACCTTTGGTGTAAAAGAGCAAGACATGAGAAAAGAAGCAGCAGGAAATCTATTTCAACATGACTGCTGCCCTGATTTGCTTCTTTCTCCTCTGTGAGTATTTCACATTATTTGCTTTTCTCACATCATCAGACATGATCGTCCAAAATCAGGCAGAATTAATCACTTTTATTGATCAGGTCCTGTTTTATTGTTGCTCTGCAGACAGATGGAGGCTTTTATCGGCTCTCATCAGTTTAATGATTTTAATATAAACTGGAATATTAATTATATAACTGAGAAATAAAGAACAGGAACCTAGAATAATGTTCAGTCCAACGAGTTTTTATTCCATTCTAAGAAGTCAGAGTTTCCATTTTATTAAGGTTCATCGTTTCTCTGTCAGATTCACAAGTCAATTAAATGATGGGATGTTTTTACTGTTTTCCATTTTCTCAGTTTTTTTAAAATAAATGTCAGCAAGAATTAAGAATTTAATTCCTGTTAGTTTGGATGTAGATTCATAAATTCCTGATTGTTCTTATAATTTATGACAGAAAATATGCCCAATATGTCAAAATCAAGTCATATTTAAGGCAAATATCAAACCAAAGCGCCGTACGACGAGATAAAACAAACCAGAAACATTCATCCCTAAAACCTTCAAGGACAGAAATGATGTTACAGTTTTAATACAGGTGCTGGTCATAAAATTAGAATATCATGAAAAAGTAGATTGATTTCAGTAATTCCATTTAAAAAGTGAAACTTGTATATTATATTCATACATTACATACAAACTCATATATTTCAGATGTTTATTTTGTTTAATTTTGATGATTACAAATGACAACAAATGAAAATCTCAAATTCATCATATCAGAAAATTAGAATATTACTGAAGACCAATAAAAACAAAGGATTTATAGAAATGTTGGCCAACTGAAAAGTATGAACATGAAAAGTATGAGCATGTACAGCACTCAGTATTTAGTTGGGCCTCCTTTGGCCTGTATTACTGCAGCAATGCGGCGTGGCATGGAGTCGATCAGTCTGTGGCACTGCTCAGGTGTTATGATAGCCCAGGTTGCTCTAATAGTGGCTTTTAGCTCTTCTGAATTGTTGGGTCTGGTGTATTGCATCTTCTTCTTCACAATACCCCATAGATTTTCTATGGGGTTAAGGTCAGGAGAGTTTGCTGGCCAATTAAGAACAGGGATACCATGGTCCTTCAACCAGGTACTGGTAGCTTTGGCACTGTGTGCAGGTGCCAAGTCCTGTTGGAAAATGAAATCTGCATCTCCAAAAAGTTGGTCAGCTGCAGGAAGCATGAAGTGCTCTAAAACTTCCTGGTATGTGGCTGCGTTGACCCTGGACCTCAGAAAACACAATGGACCAACACCAGCAGATGACATGGCACCCCAAACCATCACTGACTGTGGAAACTTTACACTGGACTTCAAGCAACGTGGATGAAGTGCCTCTCTTCTTTTCCTCCAGACTCTGGGACCTTGATTTCCAAAGGAAATGCAAAATTTACTTTCATCAGAGAACATGACTTTGGACCACTCACCAGCAGTCCAGTCCTGTTTCTCTTTAGCCCAGGCAAGACGCTTCTGACGCTGTCTGTGGTTCAAGAGTGGCTTGACACAAGGAATGCGACAGCAGAAACCCATGTCTTTCATACGTCTGTGTGTGGTGGTTCTTGAAGCACTCACTCCAGCTGCAGTCCACTCTTTGTGAATCTCCCCCACATTTTTGAATGGGTTTTGTTTCACAATCCTCTCCAGGGTGCGGTTATCTCTCTTGCTTGTACACTTTTTTCGACCACATCTTTTCCTTCCCTTCGCCTCTCTATTAATGTGCTTGGACACTGAGCTCTGTGAACAGCCAGCCTCTTTAGCGATGACCTTTTGTGTCTTGCCCTCCTTGTGCAAGGTGTCGATGGTCGTCTTTTGGACAACTGTCAAGTCAGCAGTCTTCCCCATGATTGTGTAGCCTATAGAACTAGACTGAAAGACCATTTAAAGGCTTTTGCAGGTGGTTTGAGTTAATTAGCTGATTAGAGTGTGGCACCAGGGGCCATCAATTTTGAACCTTTTCACAATATTCTAATTTTCTGATATGATGAATTTGAGATTTTCATTTGTTGTCATTTGTAATCATCAAAATTAAACAAAATAAACATCTGAAATATATGAGTTTGTATGTAATGTATGAATATAATATACAAGTTTCACTTTTTAAATGGAATTACTGAAATCAATCTACTTTTTCATGATATTCTAATTTTATGACCAGCACCTGTAGTTGAATGAAAAATCTCAATCAGAAATAATCAGAAGTGATTTTTTTTTTTTTTGAGTTTTTACGCCACTCGTGTCTCTTGTTAAATAAGGAAGTTATGTTGCGCCTTTGGGCTTTCCCATCTGTTCTTCTCCTGGGAGCAAGTTATTTACTACTCTTAACTCAAACTGGGTAATAACATGTAAAAAGGACTATAAAACAGGAGTAAAAAAGTTACAGAGTTTATTCCAGATCAGGTCGTTACAGGACAGAGAAAATGCTTAGATCTGCACAGCTTTGGGCTCAAAAATCACGTCCGCGAGCGTCCGGCAAAGATTGAGCCCCGATGAAGGTCATCTCCTGCTTCTTATAGCTCATGTGTCTATGTGTTGCATCAGGTGGATGCTTAGCTGTCCTCATCAGAAACTGACACACCAGCGATGCCCTGACCTGTATGCAGCTTGCCTCTATGCCTCAGGGTTACAGATAGCTCTCCTCTATCAGTCCGGCTCCAAGATGCGCCCATATCCTGTGTATCTTAAATAGACCCGAAGGCTGTCCTATTTAGATGACCTCCGTACACACAGTGACGTCCACCATGTGAAGGAAGGCCTTCTACTCTCTATCTGGCTAACAAAGTAACAATGCACATGATGCATAAACCTAACAGCTCCATTCATCAACTGTAGGCTGTCAGGAAAGTGGTATGAGAGAGAGAGGGAGACATGCAGCAAAGGGCCGCAGGTCGGATTCAAACCCGGGTCCACCGCCTCGAGGACGAAGGTCTCTCTACATGGGTCGCTAACCGCTGCGCCACCAAAGCACGGCCAGGTCAGAAATGATTTTCGGGTTTATAGTAAGAAGCTGATCCAGGAACCAGAACCTCTGATAACTGTCTCTCCACAGCAGGGACATGATTGGACACCTTGTCTATACTACCTGTCTTACTACGTCCTCTGACTGTTCAGCAATTAACCAATAAATATACTTCAACTTTACCTCCAATGTGATGTTTCTACAACTAAAACAGTCTGATTTCAAACCCGACTAGAGGCAGAAGTTGATGGTGCGAGTCCGTCCATCTGCCTCTTTATGTCGGGGCCACAGCAGCAAGTCGCTACAAGCTGCAAACAGGTTTGGTTTTTCTAAAAGACGCCATAAAAGAAATGACTGAAAGGAGAAAAACTTCCTTCGGTGTGAAGCTGTAGATGTTTGGCTTGATGGACCTGCAGAAGAAACAGGAAGCAGCAGATAAACAGACATCCAGGCTTCAGCATCACAGCAGGAAAAACACATTTTAATGATAATAAATGAATCAAAGACAATAATAGAAACTAAATAAAAAAAATCACATTGATTTAAACTTCAAACTAGAATAACAGAATCTGTCTTCACACCATTTTTTATTAATTGGAATAAACAACATTTAGTGTGATCTGTTAAAGCTTCCCCAGCTTCATGTCACTGAAGATCCCCTGCTCCGTGTTGGGCAGTCAGGGGGGCCCAGGCCCCCGGGGGTCCATTCTGTCTGGGGCCCAGTCTTTCTGTCCCCTGCTGATGCTGTGACACTTGTTTCTCCAAAAACAACATCACTTTCAGTCTGACTGTGTGGAGTGTGAATATTTTAGGGTTCAGCTTTAGACGCCTCTGATCCCAAAATTCCAGCTGATTTTTCTCCAGCTTCTGATCAGGAGGAACCGAGTGGATCAGTTTGGGTTCTTCGTGCATCTCTGTGGGTTAAACGGTTTCACTGCTTCAGTGGAACCTGGACCGAGTTCATGAACGCCGAGCTAACCCAGACCTCCTGCTAACCCTGTGGTTTCTGTCAGCAGGCACTGATCCACCATGTTGTTCTCCTCTGCAGCTCTGCAGGCCACAAACAGCCCTTCTGTTGATGCTCTGAAACGTCTCCATAGAGCAGCTGGAGAAGACGTCTCAGCTGCATGTGGCATGTCGTTCTCTGGATCCTGGAAGATCTTCTGCAGGGAAAACTGTGAAAGCGGAAACATTCTGATCCAAACCAGAGAGAACAAAGCTCAAACAGAACGATACAGCATTGAATACCTTAAAGAGTTTTCATCAGACATTTACGTTTTCTATGTGAAGATCTCCAAACTAAAGCCGTCTGACTCAGGACTGTACAGATGTGGTTTGGGCGACTCTTCATCCGCCATGATCTACCAGGAGTTCAGACTCGTCGTTGCAGAAGGTCAGTTTCTGTTAAAGCTGCTGAGATGTTTCTCTGAAGGACGGAGGGAACATTTTACAGCAAATAATTATTGTTATTCATGTTATACATAATTAACTCAGACAGTGCAGAGATAGGTGACTGTGATTTATTCAAAGGGATAAATCATTTTAAGACTGTAGTCAGAGGGCAGAGCCCCAAGGAGGAGGTTTCACAAACATTTAAATATCCCAGTGGACATAAGAGAAAAGGAAGGTGCATTCTGGAAACACTAGATCTGCATCTCATTCTGGTCTGATCTGAGCTTGGAAGGACAGGAGCTCCTTAGAATTGAAAATGGCAGGTATGGAAAAGGTGGGATCCCACAGACTCTCTGGTTTCACTAATGTTCCACCGGCTTGATGGTGCAGTTATTAGTCTGAGTGCGTATGGAGATGGATGTTTAAACTAGTGTTGCATCGATACCAGTATTGGGCAGGCCCCGATCCAGCACTATAATGGTGGTAACGGTATCGGCCAGTACCAACCAATAGGGAACTATTGTCACCCATTCCAGGTAGGCAATAAAAAGTTCTACTGGATTCACTTTGTTTTAGTCTTTTTCCTGCTTCACAAAGGAAGGCAGCAGCTTGACATGAAGCCTTGATGGTGATTATTTTACATCCCAGTCTGCAGTTCTTCATATAAACACACACATCAGTTTCAAACAGATGGTATCGGCCGATCCTGCACAGCCAGGTATCATCGGCACTAGTTTAAACTCACACCTCCTCGCTCCCAACCGGTCTGCCGACAGCTCAACTCTGAAAACTCCACTCGGCCTGATCGGCTCCATCTCTGCACTCACTGCTACTAAAGCAGAAAGTAAATGAACCACCTTGAATCACATTGATCAAAGTAATCCTTGCAAATACTTAAATACTATAGAGGCAGGGTGTAATGAGCTCAGAACGAAGGACCAAGAATTCAGGCGAGACAAACAGTTGAAGACTTAAACAGCGTTTATTAAATAAGAACAGAGCGGGCTGTGGATCTGTGGTATCAGTGGCTGTGGTTAGGCCGTCTAAAGCAGGAACGTCTATTGGAGAGAAACACAGGTTAGTCACCATGTTATCAGATTGAGGATAATTATGAATGCGCGGGTCACTAACCTGGTTTGACAGTTAAGCCCATGCCCAGAGAGCGAGGAGGATTCCAGACAAGCGCAGCGGACGGTGCCAGAGAGTTCTAGACGCTTTAGGCTGCAGAGCTGACAGGAGATCATATCACAGCTGCCGAAGGATGACAGGATGATCCACAGCGTGAAGTAAAGAGGCAGATCTAGGTTCAGTCCACAGAGGAATCCAAACGGAGTCCAAAGACGGGTCAGGCAAACAGATCGGACGGGGCAGGCAGGCGTAAAGGTCCAAATGCAGAAACAGATCAGGGTCATACAATCAGAACATAATAGCAACGCTGGAAAACTGTCAACACTAAAGGCTCAATAATAATCTGGCACTGATGGCTGGGAAACAGGAAGCTTAAAACAGGCGGATCTGATGAGGAACAGGGCAGAGCTGCACAGGTGAATGAAATGAACAATCAAGCAGCCATCAGCGCCAAAATCATGAAACAGGGATGAAAAAAACAAACCCGGATTTTTGACTGTAAAACAATCAACATTTCAATATTCTATATTCATATATATTTAAATATACTTATTACAACAAATAATAAATATTTTCCTGAGCAGCTAAACTAAGTGACTTGAAAAAGATTTCTGTATTTTGTTCCGGATTTTTCTCTTCCAAATGAAGTGATGCAAAACTTTCTCTGATTCGTTTATATTATTCATGAATTCGGCCCCGAATCACAGTTAAAGAAGCATTTGATCCAAACTCCACGATCACAGCCTTCCACATCCTCACATGTTATATTATTACATCATGCATGTTTGCCAGACCTTCAGCCATATCGAAATAATACATCTGCTCTCTTTATTTCCACTTAGATAATGAAGATGACGGAAAAAACGTCTTAATTAGATAAACTGCTTGAGAAAACATTAGTTAGGAAACAAAACCTGCAAATAATACTGGGATTAAGAGACTCACACTTCATCAATAAGAATAATCCAAACAAGATGTTGCCAACCTTGAGTTTTTAGAGTTGATCGCACGGCAGACATCTTTAGATTCTGTGAGTCTAAACTCTGCAGATTGATGTCACTGCGAGCTCCAGGCGGTGGAACAAAAGTTCCTCCATAGATGGTGGGATGGAAGTGGTGGCGGGATAACCTCAGAGGCAGCGCAGAGGAAAAGCCTCCCCTCAGGATCATACTGCCACTACCCTATGTTACTCCTATGCTCCTTCACCCCATCCTATGAATGAAGCAGCTGAATCTCATTCAGTCATCCTATCCACCCCCTAAGGGACTAGAGGATATTTCTATTCTATTTTATTTTATTCTATTTTTTCTAATGCATTTTATTCTGTTGTATTTCTGTCCCTCATAAATATTAGAATTTAGTCCATAAAGTGTGTTTTCCTGTGAACAGAGAATATTTTGCTTCCTTCTCTCTGCTTTCAATATAAAAGAGAAATAGATTTTCATTCAATCAGCAGATTCTCATTTCTTTCACAGGAAGCCATCTTTGTTCAAACTTCATCACGTCTCCATCTTCCATCTTTCTCTGCATTTTTCAGCCTCCGGTTCAGATTCAGCTAATTTAACCTCCACACCAGCAGCACCTCTGAGCTCCAACTACAGTCTCACACCTTCAGCTTCCAGTGAAACCACTAATCAGTCGGTTCTGATCCGGCAGAGGCCAACATCTGAAGGTACATCTAGTCCTCAAAGTCCTGAATCCCCTCCCCGCTGTGTGCCACCTCTGTTTGAGTAGAAATGGCGTCTGTCTGCACAAACAAACTCCTCCCCATGCTTTGTGTCCAACATGTTCTCTAGAAATGTCCACAGAGCTTCTGCTGGTTGCAGCTCTGACTCTGACCCTCTCTGGCATCCTGCTATCTGGGGCTTTGCTGGTTCTCTGCAGAAAAAGATGCCACAAACATCTGGAAGGTAAACAACAGGAAGCACAGATCATTTTGTGGTTTGGGGGTAAAAACACAGAGAAGAAGGTGAAAGATCAGCAGCAGCGCCAGCAACAAGGAGTCACAGAGAGGCTGTGTGAACAGGGGCTGGTAAAGGAGGAACAGCAAACAGGACAGGAAACCAACCTGAACCAGATTCCTGCAGCCGCTGCGTCACCAAAGTCTGCAGCTCTGTGGCAGAGAGGAGCTGCTAGAGGCTCATCCAGCCGCTGACACTGAGCTCAGAGCAGCTGGGCTGCCGACCGCACTCACCCAGCTGACAGCCAATCAGAAACCAGGATTTCTGGTAACATGATCATCATGATCGTCTCCTGGCCCTCAAAGTTCAGTCCTGAGAACAGTGCAGGATGACTCAGACCATCTGCTCTATGTGCTTGGTTCTCAGCTCGGTGCAGTGCAGCCCCCCCCCCCCTCTGCCAGTAACTGCCACACATATAATGCTGGGTTTGAAGCGATGCACTGGGTTCACCACTTCCTATGTGAAAGCAGACAAAGGTGACCTTCAGTCTGCGAAAACAGAATCACTCACAGTGATCAGCTTCAGTCCCCACAGCAGGAACTCCCACCACCATGTTTCATATCTCGGCCCAAGCGCCTGTCTTTGCATCCCTGTCAACCCCCCCCCAAAAGACTCCCTAATATCAAAGTTTCATACTTTTGGAAGTTGAAGTGTTTTTTTTCAGGTTTGGCCATTTAATGAGGATGTCTGTGTGTGCAGGTAAATATTACTGTGCAGAATAATTAGGCAACATAAAAAAAACATATACATACCTATCTCACTTATTTTCACCAGTTAAACCAATAGAACAACAGAAAATTCAGAAATAAACACATTAAAAACCAGATCAGTGACCAATCTATCCTCCTTTCTCCTCCATGATGCTTAAAATCCTTCCATCCATGGATTCTGTCAGAGTCTTGATCTGTGTGCGATCCTCATGGCGTGCAGCAGCCTCCCTGTTTTCCCTCCCTGTAGATCTCACCTTTCATGAAGGACCACAGGTTCTCCATGGGGTTCAGATCAGGTGACCAAGGCGGCCATGTCATTATTTTCTCCTTTTAGCCTTTTCCTGGCCGCCACGCTGCGGTGTATTCTGATGCGTGTGACGGAGCATCGTCCTGCAGGAATATCAGGTGTTCCTGGAATGATGGCGTCTTCTTCTTGTTCTGCTGTTTGAAGAAGGTGTCTTCCAGAAACTGGCAGCAGGTCTGGGAGTTGATCTGGACTCCATCATCAACCTGAAAAGGTCCCACAGGCTCATCTTTGATGATAGCAGCCCATAGCATTACCCCACCTCCACCTTGCTGGCGTCTGAGTGGATAAGGAACTTGCTGCCCTTTCCTATCCAGCCTGGTGCCCATCCATCCATCTGGACCATCTAGACTCTCTCTCATTCCATCAGACCAGGCTGACCCTCTGAAAGGGAGCGGAGGCGACAGGCTGGGCTCTGCTGGCTCAATAATGCTGGTTCCTTCTGCCAGGTTGGGTGGAGGTTATAAGAACCCAAATGCAAAGGCAGGAATGCAGAAATGAGTTCTCAAAGATTTAATTGAATGTTCACAAGCAACTGAGGCAGGAATCCAAAAGTCCAACATAAAACTGAACCATGGAGACATCAGGGAAAACAAGCACGAGAAGCGAGGAAAAGATGAGGAACCAGCAGTGAGGAACCTCACAGGGGGAGTATATATGGCTGACTGAACAAAGACTGGACTAACGAGCTGATTGGGAGCAGGTGAGAACAGAGGATTATAGAGGGGAGCGAGGGAAAAGGAGACCAACACAAGAGGGCGACAAAGAAAAACCTAAAAACTCAAATATAATCAGAAAACACAACAAAAAAGAAATTAAACCAATAAAAGTATAAAACTTGAAGCAAAGTCAAACTGAACTAAACAGAACCAAGAAGGTGACAGTGACCTCATCGGCCGTAATTATAAATGATTCTATCTGGACAGTTTTACCTGCGAAAATGATCACTAGATCATTTCATTAATAATTAACGATTTACCTGAATTTAGATTCAATTCAGAGCTTAATGAGGGATAGTTGACTTCTGGTTGACCTGAAAATAATCTTTAATATCTGAAACAACAACAGCACATGTGGTCTTTTTATTTATTCTTAGTTTTATTAAATGACTCTATTAAAAGCTCAAACCTGCACTAAAGAAGCAATGACCAGTATTTGCACATCAGTGGGGTTTCAGCTTCAAGCAGCTGAAGCTGATGATGTGACCCAGGGTGTAAAAACTGCATCTCACCTGGTGACCCACCTGGTGACCCACCTGGTGACCCACCTGGTGACCCACATGGTGACCCACCTGGTGACCCACATGGTGACCCACCTGGTGACCCACCTGGTGACCCACCTGGTGACCCACCTGGTGACCCACCTGGTGATCCACCTGGTGACCCACCTGTTGACCCACCTGGTGACCCACCTGTTGACCCACCTGGTGACCCACCTGGTGACCCACATGGTGACCCACCTGGTGATCCACCTGGTGACCCACCTGGTGACCCACCTGGTGACCCACATGGTGACCAACCTGGTGACCCACATGGTGACCCACCTGGTGACCCACATGGTGACCCACCTGGTGACCCACCTGCTGACCCACCTGGTGACCCACCTGTTGACCCACCTGTTGACCCACCTGGTGACCCACCTGGTGACCCACCTGGTGACCCACCTGGTGACCCACCTGTTGACCCACCTGGTGATCCACCTGGTGACCCACCTGGTGACCCACATGGTGACCCACCTGGTGACCCACCTGTTGACCCACCTGGTGATCCACCTGGTGACCCACCTGGTGACCCACCTGGTGACCCACCTGTTGACCCACCTGTTGACCCACCTGGTGACCCACCTGGTGACCCACATGGTGACCCACATGGTGACCCACCTGTTGACCCACCTGGTGACCCACCTGGTGATCCACCTGGTGACCCACATGGTGACCCACATGGTGACCCACCTGGTGACCCACCTGTTGACCCACCTGTTGACCCACCTGGTGACCCACCTGGTGACCCACCTGGTGACCCACCTGGTGACCCACCTGGTGACCCACCTGGTGATCCACCTGTTGACCCACCTGGTGACCCACATGGTGACCCACCTGTTGACCCACCTGGTGACCCACCTGGTGACCCACCTGTTGACCCACCTGTTGACCCACCTGTTGACCCACCTGGTGATCCACCTGGTGACCCACCTGGTGACCCACCTGGTGACCCACCTGTTGACCCACCTGGTGACCCACCTGGTGACCCACCTGTTGACCCACCTGTTGACCCACCTGGTGATCCACCTGGTGACCCACCTGGTGACCCACCTGGTGACCCACCTGTTGACCCACCTGGTGACCCACCTGGTGACCCACCTGTTGACCCACCTGGTGACCCACCTGGTGACCCACCTGTTGACCCACCTGTTGACCCACCTGGTGATCCACATGGTGACCCACATGGTGACCCACATGGTGACCCACCTGGTGACCCACCTGTTGACCCACCTGTTGACCCACCTGGTGATCCACCTGGTGACCCACCTGGTGACCCACCTGGTGACCCACCTGGTGACCCACCTGGTGACCCACCTGTTGACCCACCTGGTGACCCACCTGGTGACCCACCTGGTGACCCACCTGGTGACCCACCTGGTGATCCACCTGTTGACCCACCTGGTGACCCACATGGTGACCCACCTGTTGACCCACCTGGTGACCCACCTGGTGACCCACCTGTTGACCCACCTGTTGACCCACCTGTTGACCCACCTGGTGATCCACCTGGTGACCCACCTGGTGACCCACCTGGTGACCCACCTGTTGACCCACCTGGTGACCCACCTGGTGACCCACCTGTTGACCCACCTGTTGACCCACCTGGTGATCCACCTGGTGACCCACCTGGTGACCCACCTGTTGACCCACCTGTTGACCCACCTGGTGATCCACCTGGTGACCCACCTGGTGACCCACCTGGTGACCCACCTGGTGACCCACCTGGTGACCCACCTGGTGACCCACCTGTTGACCCACCTGGTGACCCACCTGGTGACCCACCTGTTGACCCACCTGTTGACCCACCTGGTGATCCACATGGTGACCCACATGGTGACCCACATGGTGACCCACCTGGTGACCCACCTGTTGACCCACCTGTTGACCCACCTGGTGATCCACCTGGTGACCCACCTGGTGACCCACCTGGTGACCCACCTGTTGACCCACCTGGTGACCCACCTGTTGACCCACCTGTTGACCCACCTGGTGATCCACCTGGTGACCCACCTGGTGACCCACCTGGTGACCCACCTGTTGACCCACATGGTGACCCACATGGTGACCCACCTGGTGACCCACCTGTTGACCCACCTGTTGACCCACCTGGTGATCCACCTGGTGATCCACCTGGTGACCCACCTGGTGACCCACCTGGTGACCCACCTGTTGACCCACCTGGTGACCCACCTGGTGACCCACCTGGTGACCCACCTGGTGATCCACCTGGTGACCCACCTGGTGACCCACCTGGTGATCCACCTGTTGACCCACCTGGTGACCCACATGGTGACCCACCTGGTGACCCACATGGTGACCCACCTGGTGACCCACCTGTTGACCCACCTGGTGACCCACCTGGTGATCCACCTGGTGACCCACATGGTGACCCACCTGGTGACCCACCTGTTGACCCACCTGGTGATCCACCTGGTGACCCACCTGGTGACCCACCTGGTGACCCACCTGTTGACCCACCTGTTGACCCACCTGGTGATCCACCTGGTGATCCACCTGGTGACCCACCTGGTGACCCACATGGTGACCCACCTGGTGACCCACCTGTTGACCCACCTGGTGACCCACCTGGTGACCCACCTGTTGACCCACCTGTTGACCCACCTGTTGACCCACCTGGTGATCCACCTGGTGACCCACCTGCCTCCACGGCGTCCTGTGTGAACGCATCATAAAGCTGACAGTCCCTGGAAGCAGCAGTAAACAGAGCAGACTGACAGACTCACTGTTGGTTAGTTTATGATGTTTGGTAAAATAGATCTGAGTTGTGTTTAGAGTTTGGTTAAAGTTTGGTGCTGAAATATCACCATCATCAGAACCAGACAACAAGCCTGATGGGTTCATGGTGAAGGTGGGACTGAGGCAGGGAGGGGTATATCTGCAGTGACAGAGCTGGGTTAGATTATACAGAACAGCATTAAAAAATATCACTCCTGTCTCGTTATAAATGTTTTATAATATTTATCTGTAACCTGTTTGTCTCCAGGTTTGAGGACCAGAGGAGGTTCAACTGACCAGCAGGTACTGATTGGATCTGTGCAAAGCCTTAAGGAGGAAACACAATGAATTAGGTCTTATATGTAAAAAACTTAAAATAGTTTGTTAAATGTGAAAATTTAAATCAACTTAAACTGTGAAAGTGGATTATTCTTTTGCTGCTTTTTTTCCATTTAGAGCCCGGTGTATGAAAACTTTCCCTCTGCGGAGCTGATTTACCAGAACGCCAAACCTGTCAGCAAGAACAAGAAGTAGATCCAAGAGGTGATTTAGGTCTGGCTTAAGGGACGCCTTATCTTCTAAATGTGCTTAAAATGGAACCTTTCAGATTAAAGGAGAGAATAAAACTATATCTATGTGAAGAGAAATTAACTAAGATGGTTTCAGATATTTTATACTGGAAAAACGGGCCTGTTTGTATCTTTACTTCATACTTCATTGTGTTTTTGTTTTAAAAATGTTAACATTTTGGATCCTTTTCAGTGATCCTGCAGTTTTTGGTCCTGATATTCTGAGCAGCTCAGTTCTGCCTGAGATAGAAGACGATAACCAGGGCTGGACGGGGACAGAAAAATGGCCGACAGGAGGAATAGAAGAGACACCAGATCATTGATGAATATTCTGACAGACGGTCACTGAGTGACTGTTTTTATCACGTTAGGCTGAACGGATGAGCAGGAAGAATAAAACAGTGTGTGCAGTTTACTCTCTCTCTCCTGCAATTCTGTCTCTCTACCTTGTTTTTTTTACCGATGCGACAAAAAGCTTCATTATGAAGCCCAAATAGAGCCTTCATTGTTTTTCATTCCAAGAGAATCACAGCCACAGGAGGAGACATGATCTGAAGCCATTCTATGGAAGGGTTAATAAAGGCCATTTATATTTTTTTCTGTTGACTTAAGCACAATTATTGTAAACTCTACATACAAATAAGAAAACCTTTTATCAGATCAGCAAAACATTGTAGTTCTCTTGCAAAATCTTATAAACCTCTTCAACTCTTCAAACCTTTGTAAAGATGTATTTTTCATATTGATAAAAACACACAATGTGCCATCGACACACTGATGCTATCTAATTAAAGAACACATCTGGCGTTAGCTTCCTCTGTGCACGAGGTAAACCGTGTCAGATTCAGGTCAGACTTTTATCACAGTTCTGCAGCGATCACAACTTTAAGTATTTGTGTTTATTTACACAAAATAAAATAAATATAAATGTTTATTTCCTCAAGTCAAAATCACTGAAAAAAAATAAAATAAGTCGACATCATGTTGTTTCTCTCTGGGTCCGCCCACAAGACTTCATCTACATCACATGTCGTCTTGTCAGGGGAACCGCCATATCCAGGCCCGACATGATGCCTGGTCAATATCCAACACGCTTCCTCCCCTGCCTTTAATTCAGCTGTGAGTGTCACATGTTAAAACTCTAAAACAGTTTTAACATGTGACAGCATATCAGACAGTTGGCAAAGTTGTCAGACGCTCTAAGCATTGACTCAGAATTCAAGCAGACAGATCAGAGTGTTTTCAAAGAAAGCGTTCATTGACTCCTTAGCGAACAGTCGCTCGTCAGGTTGGGTAGGTTAACTGGATACTCTGGTTATGAGTTCAGTCTGAGCCCAGAGGAAGGACTGGATCCAGGAGGATTGTTTCTCTGCAGCATGCGGTGGAAGCTTCCCCCAGAATGTCAGGAGAGAAGCAGCGTAGACTGATGAGCAGAAGCTAGTAGAATGGAAGAGATGAAATATCCAGAGGAAGAATCACAGTTGATGCTGGAGCAGATTTCCAGGCCAGAAGATCAGAGAACTAAAGAGGTACCGACAGAGAATCAAAGGTGGGGTCAGGAGACAAATCCAAGGTCGTATGCAAGCAGAATACAGTTAACAATCGCTAGAAAACTCTCACACATGGCTAGAATAATATGGCACTGATGGCTGGGAACATGCAGCTTAAATAGGAAACAGGAACAGTTGGATGAATGACAATGAACACTAGGCGGAGCTAAGCAGGTGGAAGAAATGAGCTGAACCCAGTCATCAGTGCTAAGATCATCACAAAAATAGTGTAAATAAAAGCCATATATGTGTATAGTTTTGCTAGGAGAGTGTTGATCGTTTGCAAATTCAGTGTAAAGCAATAAGTTATGTATAAAATTCTGCTAAAAGAATGTTGTGCAGTGGATTGTACATACAGTTTTGAAAAGTTTGTGTCACTAAATTGCAAACTAGGTGCAAAGCAGTGTGTTTGTTTTTAGTTTTGCAAACTAATTGAGTGGTTTTGCATTAAGTATTCATCGTTTTAGATATTGTGCTATAAAAATCATGGTTAGGGTTTAAGCATTGAGCAAAAACTAATGGGATGATAACATCCAAAATGGCTGCAAACATTAACGTAGTGTTTACTGTGTGATGGAAGACAGAATCAAACGGAGGAGGAACCCATGCGATGATGAACAGGTCCTACCTGTTAGAACATTTTTAGACTTAATATTAACCTACTGTCAGGAGATTTCTACTAAAAATAAATTCCTCCTCTACCATTCAAGCAGTAAACTAGTTTCTCTTGTAATTTTATCATTGCTATGACAGGCTATAGCTAGCTGTTTGATATGCATTAGTTTGACTAAATATGTATTTCTAATATCTAAAAAAATGGTTTTCCTTGTCAAGATGTCAATTTCAAACAAAATGACATATGATAGACTTTATTGTTATTTGGTATGCAGAGTCTATACAAAACAACATTTCAATGCATACAGCTTACAGCAGTGTAATGATATTGCAGTTAGATTAGATAAATATTACCAATAAAAAGTGCAGCAGTGATCAGAATGTAACAATGTGGAGAAAAAAGAAATTGTTTAAAAATAATGGTGCAAAAAGGCATTAATATGACAGTAAGTTCAGTGGAATGCAAAACAAATATGGTGCAAAATGAAGCAGAACCATTGAGTTGTGTCTTATTTAAAAGCATTATAAAAGTTCGGTAACATTGGTAGTGCAAAATTATGCGATGCAAAGTCCAGTTTGCTCTGAATGCATCTTTTAAATGAGTGAAAACCAAGTCTAGAGTAATCTCTCCCTGAGTTTCAAAGACCACATGTTGGTTGAAATGAGGGAGAACAGTCTTCAGATCGAACTGGTTAAGATCCACAGCAATGATGGAAACGGACTCTGTGTGCAGATTGAAGCTAATAGATGACTGTAACTCCAGCAGGTGCTGGTCAACATATTCTCATTATCAGTGCGTATGAAATCATACGAAAAGTTATGCACACTATTTCGTACGTTTTGGACGTTGTTCCTCAAAAAACCACATCAGTGCGCAATGCGCTGGCAGACAGAAAAAAAAAGCAGATCCGCGGACGGACGGAAAACTGGGAAAAACAGTGCAATCAGCACTTATTCATGTCTCTAACTATGTTGCTTGCTGTTTTATGTCTTAGGGTCAGGGTTAGGGCTAATTGTAATTTATATTCTATATTTGTGAATGGTGCGTCAAATGCGCATGCACATACAACCAAAAAAACGTCCAAAACGTACGAAATTGCGGTGCATAACTTTTCGTACGATTTCATACGCACTCATAATGAGAATAGGTTTTGCTGGTAACCTATAAACTCACTGGATTGATGGATAGTTTATATAAAACAGAGGAGCAAAATCAGATGTTGACAGGGGAAATTAGAGAGAAAGAATTAAACTCAGAAATCTCAAGACTGAAGACCAATAAAACTCCTGGAACGGATTCACTTCAGAACTTTATAAATTACTTAGGAAACCATTGATTTCCCTTCTAAAAAATACTTTTAATTGGGTCTTGAAGAGTTGAGAGATACTGATCTCCTGGAGAGAAGCCTACATTTCTATTATCCCCAAGGACAGAAAAGATCAACTGGAATGTTCCAACTATAGACCAACTAGTGTGTTTAATCTAGATTATAGGTTATTTACAGCTGTAATGGCTAAACGCCTGAAAGAAATTTGGCCAGATATAATAAACTCAGACCAAACAGGCTTCATAAAGCAGAGACAAACACAAGATAATGTTAGGTCACATTACTAGTGATGCAAAATATAATTAGAATGAAAACTAAAGCAGTTACATTAGGTTTGGATGTAAAAAAGGCTTTTGATTCTGTCAGGGGGGGAGTCTTTCTATTTAGAGTAATGAGGAAATTTGGTTTTAGTTATATTTTTATCAAAACTATACAATGGTTATACCACCAACCTACAGCTAGGATGAAAATGAATGGGAGTTTATTTAGCCACGTCATGCTGGAACGAGGTCGTCGCCAAGGCTGCTCCATTAGTCCACTCTTATTTGCAATATATTTGGAAGATAAAACAGGATAGAAATATAAAGGTAAACTAATGGAGGGGGGGGGGAACAAAACATAGCTTTATTTGCTGATGACGTATGAATATACAAGCAGACGGCTCGCTTCCAGCCCTAAAGAACATTTTGGATGAGTTTGGCCTTATGTCGGCCTACAAACCTAACGTTAGGAAAACCCAGGTTCTGTGTTTCAACTACACTCCAGATGAAGTGATCAAAAGCAGTTTAACTGGATCTGGTCATCAAAGTCTCTGAGGTATTTGGGAGTAGAAATACCACGTTACCTATCTGGCTTAAAAAGTAGTAATTACAACCCCCTAATTACCAAAATAAAATCGGACATGGGGAAATGGAGTTTATTTCCAGTTACAGGTTTTTACTCAGGAAAAGAAATAATTAAGTCAGATGTGTTACTTGTATATCTGGAGCATGTAAGAAAAGTGATTTCCCTCGGGGATTATTAAAGTATGTCTGATTCGGATTCTGGTTACCAAGATTAATTTTTTCATTTCGCCACTCTTCCGGTTGAGGTCACAGATAAAGAGTTTATAGAATGGGATAAATTAATTTCGAGATTAATTTGGCAATGGAAAAGACGGAGGGTTACATTTAGAACGTTACACCTGGCCGACGATCGCAGGGGTTTAGCCCTTCTACGTCTGAAAAGTTATTACCAGGCGGCACAGCTAAAACCTCTCCTGAATATACAGTATGTGATCCTCAATATAAATCAAACTGGAAAGATATAGAATACATCATTTCATGAAATACCTTTACAAGCCATAATTAATGACAATAAATTGAAACTTCAATTAGGAAAGGGTCTGAATCCATGGTTAGAACTGTCACTCAGTATATGGCATGAAATTCGTGAGGCAGACACCCTGTCTACTTTTAAGGCTAGGCTTAAAACTTTCCTTTTTGATAAAGCTTATAGTTAGAGTGGCTCAGGTTATCCTGAGCTATCTCTATAGTTCTGCTGCTATAGGCTTAGACTGCTGGAGGACATAGGGACCCCTTTTTCAT